TAGAACAAAAATTGTTCTGTTTATTAATGAGTAATTTGCTCGGTTACAGTACTGGACGTTTTTTGTGCTCTTTTCTGTACATCAGTGTAAATTTGTCATTGAGACATCTACCTAAAGAAATGAAAATATACGGGGTTATAGTCAGTAATTCATAATGATATCTCAAGTTCCTGTCAAACTGGAAGTTTATCATTTAGTATAATCATAACGAAGGGAGAAATGGGAGAATTATATATATAAATCCTTTATTGTAGTCATAGACTAATTTACATTTTATATTTCTATATAGTTAAATGAATACAATTGTCACATATATACATATTGAAATTAAAATTATAAAAAACATGATCAGATAGTGGCTACTGTGTTTTTTATTGATTGTAGAGGTATGATTTTAATTCCCTTTTAAAGGGAGCGATGTTATGCTTTTATTGTCTTGTGGGAGATTGTTGAAACTTTCAAGCCCTTTAAAAAAAATTGAATTTTGGGTTTTGCGTTAATCCAACTTGTTGAATGTGGAAATCAGTTCTATTTCTAGTGTTGCATCCGTGGATTTGCTCATTATATTTGACTTTCTTTTGTAAATAGGTTGACGCAATTTTATGTCTCATTTTGAAGATTAGAATCAAGGTTTGGTAAAGAAGAAAAGATTTTATTAGCAGCCATTCCAGTTGCTTCAACATACCAAAATAATGCGCTTGGCTCTGTTTTGAAGTTTCTGCATCCGTACTAGTTCATTTTGGTTCAGTATATACAGGATTGTGGAGCAATAGGTGAAATGCGGTAGGACTTTGTATTATACAGCAATCATTTTGTTAATCTAGTCAGGTATGGAGCACATCGGGCTAAATGATGTATTTTAAATGATATTGTTTTTATAATACAGCTAGTATGGTTTTTGAGCTGTAATCTCATATCTACATTTACCACCAAGTACTCAAAAATGTTTATATACCTGTTCTACGTTGTCTTTGCCAGTTATTACCTTATGAAGTCGAAAATTCTGCTTATTCTTTGTTTTCGTTCAAATTGGATTTTTGATCAATTCTAAATATAATATATATAATATAGGTATATAAAAATAATATCATGAAGCATCAGGATCGCAAAACACCAGAAAAACTTCTCGAAATAACTAATGCATTTACTCGTACATCGTACATCTGAGGACACCCAAGTTGGAATACCTCTTTGAACATATACCAGTGGTCCAGATTTTTCCATACAGCCAATATCTCAGTTATGCTGCTTGGAAAAAATAAACAAAAATCACACTTGTTGAACCCAAATGACTCTAGAGCCATTGTGTCGAAGTCAACTTCTGTCAAACTACCCCTGAAAAAACACCCCCAACTTATTTCTTTCAAATAACACCCTATACATGTTTTTGTTGGAATATCATTTCTAACTTCAACGATGTATCACACTTGATAATTTGACTAACGTCCAATTGACAGAATATTCATTTGGAGTAAACGTAAAAGGTATATTGTCTTAGCTGGATGTACACTCATCTTCAAGCAACATGTCGCGGTAGGAAGGTATGAGCGCTCTTATTGCAGCGGTGATCAAGGGAGCTGACACCGTCCATGTGCGACATGATCTCTGAAGATGACTGTACCTACAAACTGACTAAAAGACGCGTGCACGAACAACCGTCAAAAAAAAAACATAATAGAAAAGAGCTACACCTGATACATCTTTGAAGTTAAAATTATTGATTGCACTTCACTAATCAACAAAAAAATGTATAGGGTGTAACTTGATAATTTGAAGTTGGTAGTGGCTTCAAAGATATTTGGGTATGACAAAAGTGTTATTTTTTGAATTATTTGCAAGCAGCATAACTGAAATACTAGCTGTATGGAAAGATCTGGGACACCCGGTATACAGGAAGTGATAATAATTCTATATTCCCGAGGTTGTCTTACTGAACTGCATAAAAAGAGTCGAGGGTCGCATGAATCTGTTTAGGAGTCACATAAACATTGATATTGAGCTGGAGTTGTGAAAACTTTGAAATTTTGTATGGGTCAAAGTTCGAACTGACGATTTATTTTAAAAAATTTCTTAGATCGAAGTAGCTACGCATATCTTATCCAATCTATATATACATATATATATATATATATTTAAATCGTAAAATCAATACGTATATTTATATTTAGATCGTATTTGGAACTGATTGACTGAATTAGTGAGATTATCAGCTGTGAGTTTTGGCACACAATTTGGATGTGATTGAAGGTTAATGAATGAAAATGTTGTGTTTATGATGGCCCTGCTCCTATTTATGAATTTCAACAGAGTCAAGAAAGTTCCTTCTTTATTCAATTTATTCGGTCACTTGTAATCTCGGAGTATATAGTAGAAGAACTTTACGCATTTCAAATTATTGCTTTTACAGCCGTGACTTTTTACCCACAGCCTTCAGACAAAATAATGTTGACCTTTTCCATCAACTCTTCATTCTTGAAAAATTAAAAAAAGTAGATCTATCATATCTTATGCAAAAAGAGTTGTCATTAGAATTAGAAACAACTTGTTGCTTACTATCATTGATCTAACGTCCAACATATTGGATATATGTTACTACGTTCGGAAAATATTCAATTATTTATTCCAGATTTTTTGGGATTTTCTCTCCCCGTTTCTATAAAATGAAAATATGAATATTATTTCAATATACGTGTAGTCAGGACAAATCAGATGATTTGCCAATGCTCCAGTTTTCAACATAAAAAATGGTTATTTGAATAGCAAATTCGTATCTGTCTTGAAACTCTTCAGTTCTCACTGACAATTGGTGACGTTGGCAATCAGATGAGTTACAGGATGTTTTCGTTCATTAATCTTGAATTTACTATTTTGATTTTCAGATTTCAGTAGTGAATACCATGTTCTATCTATATCAACTGAGCAAGAAGCAATGCTATTGTCTCCGTTCAGAAGAATGCAAGCAGATTCCTTGATTTTTCTCTTATGGTTATTCTTTTCCGATGATTTTAATATTATTCCACTCTGCCATATGTTGTCCGTCTTCAGTAAGGATATGTTCAGCTAGTTTCGATTTGTCGATGTGTCTTTTCTTTATATTTTACAGGGTGATTCACCATAAATGTCCCCCCCTCTAGCTCACTTATTTTTGAACCGATTTAAAAGTTTGAAAAGTTTCAGAAATGTTTTCCCTGTTGCATAAAAAAATACAGGGTGCTCGGAAAAAACGATCTGCAGGGTACTACTTGATTTTTTCGAATGGAACACCCTGTATTTCATTGAATCCTTAGATTCTCCCTGAAGAACTGATTTCATCAATGTATGACACTTGGGGTCTAGCGGGAATGATTACAGAGATATAGGGTGTTCAAAATCGAGATTTTTCAACTTTAGGATTTTTTTGTGTCGAAACTATTCATTATTGGTCAAAACGACTATTATGTTCCTATCGCAACTTTTGATTCACCATCTACTGAGATTTAATTGGAACATATACAGTGTGGTTCAAAATTCAGAATTCTGATCACCCTGTATCTGTTCCAATTATCAAATGTCAGTAGATACTAAATCAAAAGTTAAGATACGGACATGAAATCCGTTTTGACCGATAATGAATAGTTTTATTACAAAAAAAAACCTAAAGTTGAAAAATCTCGATTTTGAACACCCTATATCTCTGTAATCATTTTCGCTAGACCCCAAGTATGATGCATTGATGAAATCAGCTCTTCAGGGAGAATCTAAAAATACAATAAAAAATAGGGTGTTCAATTTAAAAAAATCAAATAGTACCCTGTAGATCGTTTGTTCCGAACACCTTGTATTTTCTGATGTAGCAGAAAAAAACTCTATCGAAAATCATTTTAAATGATATTAAAAATTTTGCAATCGGTTCAAAAATAACTGAGTTAGAGGGCGGGACATTTATGGTGAATCACCCTGTACTTATGTTCCTTCGTCCTTGGTTTCACCTGTATAAAACTTTCCACAAACACAAGGTATACTGAAAATACAATTTTTTTAGATTGTTCTTAATTTTTCGGTTTGTTTGAGTTAGAATTGATCTCATTGTATTTTTCAGTTTTGAACACAGTTTTCACTTGAAATTCATCACCAACACGTTTTATTTTTTCAGGTATACCGGGAATGTATGGTATTATATTCGTCGTTATTGATGGTTGATTTTGTTGTGATTGACCCTGTTTGTTTTCAATTTGATGAATCGTATTCACTACTGAAATCTGAAAATGAAAATGGAAAATTCAAGATTAATTTTTTCTATATACAGGGTGAGTCATTGAAATGGGAAAGTGAGATAACGCCTTTGCTGTTTGAGATAGATGAACAAAAATTGTTGTGATGATCTAGGCTCATGAGCAGCACATTTCCAAAATATTTCGCTTTATACAGGGTGACTTAAAAATGCGTGACGTATCAAAGTTACACTTTTTCTCATGGGACACCCTGTATTTCATTGCTAGACCCAAGTGTGATGCATTGATGAAATCAGCTCACAAAGGAGAATCCGAAAATGCAATGAAATACAGGGTGTCCCATAAGAAAAAGTATAACTTTGATACGTGACGCATTCTTGAGTCACCCTGTATAAAGCGAAATATTTTGGAAATGTGCTGCTCATGAGCCTAGATCATCACAACAATTTTTGTTCATCTATCTCAAACAGCAAAGGCGTTATCTCACTTTCCCATTTCAATGACTCACCCTGTATGTACCTTTATTTCTCTTCTCCAAACCTCTTTCAATGCAAATTGTCACTGACAAGCTGGTGAATTTTTCTTTTAGGCTCTCTGATCGGTAAATTCTTTAAACGCAGTGACATTTCGTGGCGAATCATCGGATTTGTCCTTACTACACGTATATTGAAATAATATTCATATTTTCATTTTATTGAAACGAGGAGAGAAAATCCCGAAAAATCTGGAATAATGAATGTACTTCCTCCTCGATTAACCTATACAGACAGTATTCAATTATTGTTTCAGAAAATGTGACCTGTGCCAGTGATCAGTTCAAATGTCATACCGGCAAATGCATTCCTAATCATTGGCAATGTGATAATGATAAAGACTGTAATGATGGTAGTGATGAAGATGAACAATTATGCCGTAAGTACAATATTTAGAATTCATTTCAAAACCATATAGCCATCCCAATAAAGAAGTTTCGATCCCCAATGAGATTATTTAAAAAAACAGGACATCTCCATCTTCAATCGGGTCGATTCTGTTTGCAAATAGCAAAATGGTTGTAGAGAAGATATTGCTATCACAGCAAGATTCGAAAAAGTGGAATTCTAATTGTTCTAATTATCGATTTTTGGCAATATGATCTGTCAATTTTAATGACATCTGGTCAGCTTTCTTGCTATGTCGGCAACATCAATTTTGTGCTTGCTATCTCATAACAAGGTAGTGGATTCTTTGTTTTTGCACTACAGATTCTTCCAAGTATGAAAATTCAGAAAATAGTGGATTAAAAACAAATGAGAGTTCAGTTGTGTCACTGACTACTAGAAAACTTTTCCTCAAAGTTTCAATTCGTAGGAGAATTATCGAAAACCTTAGAATGGTGATTACAATCATATAGGAAAGGTTCACTACTGTGACCAACTGCTTGAAAACCTTTTCTAGAAGTTCCAATTTGTAGAGGAAATATGAGACTACAATTTCGGCATATCAGAGAAACCAGAAAAACCATTTCAGTTGCCTGATGGATAGATTATCAAGCTATTTTGCTAGAATATTAAAAAAAATCACGATTATTTTCATCCGGCTTTTAGTTGTTTTCTCATTTCGGGGACATGATTGATTACTTGCACCAGTCGCACAACGACGACCAGATTCAGCAAATACAAAATCTCTCGATTTGAACAATATAATTTTGTAAAATATCAGTGCAGGACTGACTAATTTGAGAGGTTAGATATTCATGAACTCTTCTTCTTTATGAAATAATGGCAAAATCGATACCTAGCACTTAAACAATGAGATGAAAACAGTGTTGTCAGCTCAAAAATTCCCAATTTTTCAACAATATTGCTGAGATCAAATTACCTATTGGTACAAAATTCCATGATTCTAGGATCAATTGTAACAAAGATAATTGAAAAAAACTGCATTTAGGGACCAACCTTCAAAGGGCTGTAGCGCCCTTAGGAAGGATTTTCGGACACCTGTTGATAGGATCATTTTTTTTATTTTTATCTGTAGATCGACCTCCCGGAGTATACGAACGTTATTCTGGGACACCCTGTATAATGACCACAACGGAAATTTCGGCAGCTATAGTTTTTAATAAATCAATATCGGATTCATCCGAATTAGAAATTCAATAAACAATATTTCAAATAAATAATTTCCTGTGAAATGAACAAATTTGAATTCGTGGAATTATAATTTGTTGGATATTGAATTATGCACAATTCATCGTCATTTCAGAGTAATTGTAATACAGGTTCATCAATAATAAACATGCAATATCCTCAAGTCATGTCTCAAGGCAATAGTGTACAAACAACTTGATATGAACAGGTTAACTAAGAGAAACAAATGAATTAAACGTTTTGTATGCATTTTTTGTTATTGCAAATAGTTGTTATTTTCAGCATTTATTAAAGAACTTGAGTTATACACAGGGTATCCCATAAAGGATAAGTTTTTTGGATTCAAGAAAGGAATATTTCAATGGGGTTCAATTCATGGTATGTGCCCTTCAAATTGGATTACATTCAGTTCCAAACGATTATTATATAATATTTTTATCACTTAATAATTGCTATTGAATATCCGCTGTATTTAGCGCAATTATTATCATCTTTCTCGAAATAAATGCTGACAATTCCTTCTCTCTGATAAGAAGTTTGAGTAAACCACTAAAGAAATGCCTATTATTTCTCTCTATTATTAACCAAAGGGACAAGGAGAGTGTTTTTTTCTCGGAAAATTTAATGATGATTCGAGAGCAATGATAAATTTGTAACTTACTGTCCTCTGTCGTGAGTTCCGGAAAGTTATGTAGAGAATCCAAAGAAAATATGATACTCGATCCTCTCTTCCATTTGAATTTTTGTGTTGGTGGTTGTGTAGGGTCGAGGGATGAAAATATTCAATCATTACAATCAAGGGTGACCCTTTTTCGACCAATTTTCGAAAAATATTTTGGCTATTTTGTATTTAAATCATCTTCAGAATTATTCAGGATATCTATACTTCTGGTTGGGACGCCCAGTATATAGTGCCATGTATGGTTCTTACGTTCAGAATTTTGGAAATAACTCTAAGTACTTTTTATTCAAACAATAGAATAAAAACATTTTAGAATCATTCCAACAAATGTTGTTTCTTAATCAGCAAGCAAGTGCTTCAAAAAACACCATATTCAAACTGACAAGTTTAAAGTCGCGAATACTAAAATACATATTAAGACTTCTAAATTACCTACACATAATACCTACTCAAATACATTTTTGTTTTTACTCTTGACACATTTTAAATGACCCATTTTTTCATAAAAAACTATCAGTCCTCTTGAACATACATTTTTGTTTTATTTTTAAATTTGCTAAAGTTAGGAATATCTGTAAAATACTGTGGCAGACTGTTGAATGTTTTTATACACTTGTTCAGTGGGCTGTCTGAAGCTATGTTCATTCTTACATTACGAATGTAAAAAGTGTTTTGTCTTCTTGTCTTCTGGTATCATGATAGTGCTGTATGTTGTTCACAATATCTAACTGCGAATTACATTTGAAATTGTTATTCATCACTTTGATAAAAAATGTGTTTTGCTAAATTTTTTATATTGCTGCTATTTAAAAAAAGAACAGTTTCTGTATAAACTACGTCGGTTGTCGTTCTGTTACTAAAATGAATAAAACTTTCACTACCTTATTTTGAATCCTCTGTGTTTTATTCATTAATGTTATTCCACAGGTGCCCCAGACTGGTATTAGGTAGCTGAATATTGGCAAGAAATAGGCGTTCAAAATTTGTTTCAGTATCTTATTATTTAGGTAATCCCTACATCGGTAGAGTGCACCACTTTTTTTCTGTACGCTGAACATGTAATCTCCAGTTCATGTTTTCATCCAAGAATAATCCCAAATATTATCATCCATCAATGCATGATATTTCTCCAAATCATTTTCCACCCTTATTTCCAGTTCTCGGAGATCTGTACTTGTATAGACCAGAGAATTGTATCATCAGCAAAAGTAAATTATTTTGAATTCAGTTGTGCGTTTTCTAGACTTCTCACAAGTAGTGTATATATGGAGGGACCCAAAACCAATCCATTATTAATTTTCTGAGTCTCACTGTATATGTTTCCTATTCATATTCCTAGAAATATTGTTTCCTATTTAGTAAATACGTTGTGAGTGACGTTAGCAGATTTCCTCTGATACCCACGTTTTCTATTTTATTCAAAAGTATTTCATGATTGACTACATCAAAAGCCTGTCAGTACAAAATATTTTATATCAAGCTTGGATGGAATGTAATTTACAGAATCCATCATAGCACTGAGGATGCCACTGTTTTCTTGGAAACCATATTGGTACATATCAAATTTTACATCAATATCAATAAATGTTATGATGCGTTTTCAAATTGATTTTATATCCTAACCTGTTGTCTGTTTTCGTTGTTTGTGTCCATACTAAATTTGTCATCGAATCTTGTAAGGTTCCTGAAATTATTTTTGATTGTTACAGAAAAAAAACTCTGCAACTTAGATGAATTTACCTGCAGGTCCGTTCCAGGAGAATGTGTCCCACTCACATGGATGTGTGATGATAATCTGGACTGCTCAGATGGCAGTGATGAAAAATCGTGCAGTGAGTGTTCATATCACACAATCACAGTCACAATGCAAAATTATTACGAAAAAACTCCATGGACAGCCGAATTTCAACTTTTTATGCCGCATTTCAGTCAATTAAACCTGAACTGACCAAGGATTTTTTCTGAATATTTTTTGTTCGCAAATCATACATTATTTTCGCTTTAAAATTCACGCTGAATAGTTTTTTTTTAGATGAAACTTGCAGAACAGATGAATTCACGTGTAAAAATGGGAAATGTATTCAAAAGCGCTGGGTTTGCGACTTGGACAATGACTGTGGAGATAATTCGGATGAGGAAAATTGTCCGAACATTACTTGTCCTACTGATTATCAGTGTTCTGAAAAATTCTGTATCGCTTCCAAATGGAGATGTGACGGAGAATATGATTGTGCAGATGGAAAAGATGAACAAGTGAGTTTTTCCTTTAAGAATCACCAACCTATTGATGGTGGGTTGAGGCGTTACCACCGATACAACAAGGCCAGCAGACTCTGACGTAAACAGCTCGTGACGTCACCAAGAGAGGCCAGTGTTTTATTTTATCGCTGGTCGACTAACTAATCAGTTTGAAAGCAGTTAGTCAAGTTCTTCATATGCTAAGTATTCAATGATATTGCTATCAATTTTATTCATTTCCAGGGATGCCCTCAGTATTTTTTGATGGGTTATTCTAAATCGCCCTGTAGATTAAGTACAAAAACAAAATTCAGCAGACAAAACTAAATCTCTGCACAAAACTCATTTTGTCGAATTGTCGAATATTTTAGAGCTGTGGAAATCTTGGAGGCTGCATGGTTATACAGGATATCCCAATTTCTAATTGGCCTGTCTTAGTTGCTATAGTTATAATACTCAGAAATGGAATTGGAAATCGACCCGTAATGACGAGTGAGCTATTTGTCGATTATCAAGAAAAATTCCATGTATACCGGAAGTGGCCATGAATTTTGGTGCTGGAAATAGGACATCGTATATTTCAACATTTCTGGATACTACGCACAACTTCACACATTTCTATTTATCTAGCTAATACATATGCCTATACCTAATAAATTGGAGGTCACGCTTATTATGCCCCCTTCCTTGAAAACAAAATGTAAAAACATTTCAGTGAATTGAATAGTTGGGTAATATAAACTGGATTTTTTAGATGGTTTGGATTGAAATCTGGAGCCTTTCCATTCATTTCTAGAAAAAATATATCTCGAAATATATGGCTCTGAAACACCTCAAAATAATTTTATGTTTTTTTTTCATCGCCACGGTATAAAACATTATTGAAAACGATCAGACGTGGCCGCGAAATGTGTGACGTAACTTAATAATATACCTACCTACCCGAAAATTCGTGGTACTGAAAAATTTCATTGCATAATAATTAGTTAGATGGTTGATTTCTGTTGGTGGATTAATAAAATTTGTAAATGAAATTTCCATTTGTATTGAAATAATGTGCAAATATTCATGATATTCAGGTTCGAATCCCTTTCAGTAAAGTACTTTCAAGCTTAGGCACTCACCTATACGTATATACGTCTACCTATACCTACCTATCATACAGAAAGGAAAAAAGTCTGAATCAATCAATACTTAATTGCTTACTTGGTTCTATTTTCTATTGATTTCAGTACAAGCATCACTATCTTCTTGTCAATAATATTGAGAAATGAGAACAGTGAAGTTATGCGGAGAATGAGGTATCTTAACTTGGCAACATTGGGTTAGCGCGAGTTGCTTCATCTCTTCCTCTTGTAAACATAGTTGGCACATTAGCAATTAAATTTTCGGGGAATAACTATACTTGATGATTTATAGTAACACTGTTTAATTTGTTGATTATAACAATTTGACAACAAAATCATAACATCAAAACTCAATTTACTCTAACCAAACCATATAGAAATCGTCTTACATTATTTTATCCTAGCTAGTCTTGAAACTAATGGAATATTTCGGAGTTCAGAGTAAATTGAATGTTATCAGTAGTGATTTACCAATCAACAAATCACCTATTAAATAGTAATTTCGAATTATGGCATTCCTTGCACCATCTTGCACATAGGATCAATTCAACAATCTCTAAGTGACCTGGCAGCAGCGACGTGCTTTCCTGCTGTCATAAACTCCAACCAATCAAATTGTAAGAAGACACTGACATCACAGCTCAGTAGCGTTTGAATGCATAGTCATCCAAATAGCATTTTTAATATTAAATAATTCATTTGTTGTTCGATTTTCTCGATAACAATGTGATGAGGATAACGATAAAAAAAGGTCAAATTATACGATACTGAAACTGCACAATAGAAACATACAGGGTGTTCTATTTTAAATAACAAATTCCCCGCTACTTCCGGTGTAACCGGAAGTTCTCAATATTCGATGCAATACGTTCTTCAAATAGTCCAAAGCCTCGATACAAATTTCATTTCATTCTGATGATTCTTATAAAAAGTACATACAGCCTCGCTAATAATAGCTGAGAAAATTTGTATATGTGTTTGAAACTTACACTATACAGAGTGTCCCGAAATTACATAGAAATATTTCAACCACAGATTCTAGAAAATATTAGAAAAAAGTTCAAATAAACATGGGTCCAGAAATTGCCCCCTGGGGGGGCTATAGCCATCCAAAGGAGAGCCCGATATGATGCTTTTATGTCAATAGTTTCTGAACCCTCTGTGATAAAATAACTAAATTTGCCCGATTTGAAAATGTTTGACTAAAAAATATGGAAATCTCAACATGTTTACTTATAAATTGTACTCTTGTTCAGTCTCGATGCTTCCACCATTTTCGAGATAGGTAAATCGATTTCAAAATTCTGCTGCCTAATAAAAATAGTGCTTTTTCCCTCATAGGATACCGAATTGTCCCAAAAATTATGGTCTCGATGTTTGATTTGGAATATGGGGGGTCGTGCAATGAAAAAAATGAATTGAAAAATAATATGGTAGGTACCCTATTGAAAAAAGGTACTATCTTCATTACGCGAGGGGTACCGTGGTCAAAATTGTGTACACCAAACTTTAATTTCACAAGGAATTCCAAGGAATTGCAAGGAATTCCAGCTGTTTGTACACCAGAATTACACCGCACTTCACACAAGGAATTCCAAGTAATTCCAGGAAAATCCAAGGAATTCCAAGGAAATCCAAAGAATTTCTTGGACATCCAAGGAATTCCAGTTGTTTGTACACCAGAATTATACCGCACTTCACCTGAAGAATTCCAAGAAAATCCAAAGAATTCCAAGGAAATCCAAGGGAATCCAAGGAATTCCAAGAAAATCCAAGGAATTCTAAGAAATTCCAGTTGTTTGTAGACCAGGAATATACCGCACCTCACCCAAGGCATTCCAGGAAATTCCAAGGAAATCCAAGAAATTCCAAGGAAATCCAAGGAATTTCAAGGAAATCCAAGGAATTCCAAGGATATCCAAGGAAACCCAAGGAGTTCCAAGGAAATCCAAGAAGTTCCAAGGAAATCCAAGGAGTTCCAAGGAAATCCAGGGAATTCAAAGGAATTCCAGTTGTTTGTACACCGGTTTACCCCTCGCGCAGACTTTTGAAATCGATATATTTCGAAGATGGTGACTGCTATCGAAACTAAACAAAAGTTTAATTTTTTAGAAAAAAAAAGAAATTTGAATATTTCCTGGTCAAATTGCCGAAAATTGCATTAACAAAAAAGTGCCCCTAGCCCCACCTATTTCCCACGCCCCTGATCAAAATTTCGGGAAAATCTTGACATTTTCAACTGAACCTTTGGCACTATAATACACTACACACTGTTTTACCACTAACCAAACCGATTTTTACACTTCGACACGTGTTTCGCTAACTATGTTAGCATCTTCAGCAGAAGATTGAAACTAAATGTTCTATCCTAGTGTGTTACTTATTTACTGGGTATATAAGTAGCATATACAGGGTGATTCACGATGGATGGCACATTAGACGCTTCTGGAGAACGCAACTCAAGATTATTCTGAAACGTTGGTGCCTTAGATAATGAGTTATGCTCTATCGACCTAAAATATTCCCGCGTTGCGACGTTGCCGCTTATATTGAAATGTAGCAACAACTTTGATTTTTTCAATGGAACACCCTGTCTATCTTTCCATCTTCAGATTCTCCCTGAAGAGCTCAAAATTCTTAATCCTGAACCACCCTGTATTTATTTCAAATAAATATAAATTGATAGTACATGGGAAGTTAAGATAGGGACATGTAAACCGTTTTGATCAATTATGAATAGTTTCGACACAAAAAATTCTTAAAGTTGAAAATTTTCGATTTTTCACACCCTATATCTTTGTTATCATTCCCGCTAGACCCCAAGTGTGATAGATCGATGGAATCATCAGCTCTTCAGGGAGAATCTGAGAATGGAAAGATATACAGGGTGTTCCATTGAAAAAATCAAAGTTGTTGCTACTCCTCAATATAAGCGGCATCGTCGCAACGCTGGGAATATTTTAGATCGATAGACTAATTATCCAAGGCACCAACTTTTCAGAATAATCCTGAGTTGCGTTCTCCAGAAACGTCTAAAGTGCTATCCACCGTGAATCACCCTGTATAAGTAAAAAATCGGTTTGGTTAGTGGTAAAACAGTGTGTAGTGTATTCTCATATTGGGCATTAAGAGTAAGGCAATATGTACAAAATATTTGGTCACTTCATCACAGAGGGTTCCGGAAATATTCACATAAATCCATTATCTCGGACTCTGCTTCAGATGGCTATAACTCCATAAGTGGGGAGGGGCATTTCTGGATCCATGTTTATAGTTTATATAAACTTTTTATAATATTTTCGTTCCTAGAACCCGTCGTTGGAATCTTTCTATGTAAATTCGGGACACCCTGTATATTTCATTGTCATCATACCGTTACTACCATACATTCAATATCCAGGGATGTCCGAAGTCTTCTGGGAAATTTTCATTCTGCCTTCAAGAGGAGTACGAATGCGCAGACGATTTCACTTGCATTCACAAGAGCTGGCTGTGCGACGGCACAAAAGATTGTGCGGACGGGTCTGATGAGTCGCCTGATAATTGCCGAAACGTTACCTGTCGAGTCGATCAGTTTCAATGCAAAGATCGATCTTGCATCGCGGGACATTCGCACTGTGACGGAAAACGAGACTGTTCTGATGGGAGCGATGAAGAGAATTGTGGTGCGTATCAATTTCAATCCAGTTTTTTTTTATCATTTACAGGATATAAAAATGTACGTATGGTAATCCACATATTTTGCTAGTCAAAATCTTATTATTACTTATATATAGTTGTATTATGAATAAAGTCCCATTCATTTTCATTATATCTATTGTTCTCAGAATAAAGGTATGTTCATGCTTGTACGAATTCAGCGAAATTTATGCGAATAAAATGGCGACTACGAATATCGCAATGTAGTTGAAATATTTGAACTTTTTCACGAATTCGGATGAAATCATAACTACACAGTATGCATAAAATGTGTTGTTATTTTGATAAAATCAAAATTGGGGAATTAGGGAGCGGACAGCAGAGGCCGAAAAAGACGAGACTAGACACTAGACCACAGGTAAGTACAGAATTATAATTAAGTATACATTTCATCATTCCTTCATTTGATTGAATTTTCTTCGCAGGATGAATCCTCTGGACGAATTAGTATCATTTGTATAATCTCTATAGAGCTGATGTATCCAGACGCAAAAAAGTAGCTGTATTGTTCGAAGCATTTTTAATTGCCGAGAAATGTATTGAGATCCTTATCGCCTCGTTCGATAAATGCGACTTAATGACCCTAATAAATATTTCAATTACTTTCGTGTGACGTGCCTTTAATTTGATGAACTTCTATCAATGATGGGACCAGAAATGAAGGAATTATATATATGACATCAGAACCCTTATCTCCTGCAAATTTTGTCGCATGAGTATGAACGTCGACTTCTGTTGAGAATTTCATATTTTGAGATTCGCATAAATTTTGCGGAATTCGTACAAGCATGATCATACCTCAAAGACAGACAGTTTTTTCATTAGTTGTGTAATTAGATATACAGTGTGTTTCGCTTTAAGTGTAGTCACCACTGCAATTCGTAATAATAGTAGTAGTATGAAAGGTCAGACATAAATACCTATAATGCACTATTATAAATACATGCGTTGGTGCATAGGTACATTAAAATATTGAAGATTGAAAATAAATTATCAGTCATACAATTTTCAAGTTCATTGAATAGAAAGGTCAATAATTTTATTGCAATTAAACATTGTCTGAATATAGTTCTCGAAAATATCAATCAGGTCGTATAATATGAATTATTCCTGAATCAACATTTCATGGCCGACTGGCATGAATCATAAACTCATAAAAATCATAAACAAGTAATGAAATTAAGAAATTATTGTGGTGTTCTTTCTGGTTAGACAACTGATGAGTTGACCACAGAACTGTTAATATAAAATAGTATTCTCCATGAAATTTGGGATAATTGCCACTGTTTGAAAAAAAGTAATGGCACTGCCTCATCAGTACATTTATTGTAACTATTCCAGATCTACCAGTACCAAAATGCGATCCAAAAACCCAGTTCAATTGCGGTGGTGGTCAGTGTATATCTTTCTCAGAAGTTTGTGATGGCAAGCAAGATTGTCCGAATTGGGAAGATGAGCCTAAGGACAAATGCGGAATAAATGAATGTAACAAGAATAACGGGGGTTGCAGTCAAAAATGTGTTGATACGCCAGCATCCTTCTACTGTGACTGTGAAAATGGGTACAAACTAGTTGATAACAGAACTTGCAAAGGTAAATATATATTATATCGCATGCACAGTAATTTTGCCTAAGAGGCTACACTACTCATTTTCTTGATACCAGTTATTATTCAACTTGATGATGAAAGTGTTCAGCGGTACCTGTTATTACTGGGTATTATGGAATTATTTGAACAATCATTTTCAATTTACTGCTTCAAGTAATTCTCACGAATACTTTGCACCGTCTTACGTATGATATAGTGTGTACATAAAGTAGGCATGAAATATTTTCGTTATTTCCAAACCAAAATTTCGGAGGAACAAACATTTAGTGAAAGTGGTCAAAAAAATATCTGCTGTTTGGACTATTATCCTTGAAGACAAAAATCCTTATGATAATGTCAACACCAACTCAAAAATATAATGATAAGACCTAGCATCAGAATTCTAGTAACCACTTATCATAGTTTTCCCGAGAAGATCCGGCGGATGTATATCCTTAATCGAAAATCCTAAATATTCAGTGTGGGATTGTGCAGAATTTATTTTTAGTAGTTCTCCTATATGTATCAAACTTGTAGATAAAATGAATGCCGTCATGATATCTGCTTTCACGTTTATGAAAATCCCTTTTGAATTCATTCAGCCATAGATATGGTTCTAGTTACGAAGCACTCTATATAGTATGATAGCACAAGGATCTCTAGGGAATAACCGCATGTAGATTAGACTAGATTTAGAGTGGGGCCTTCGGGCTATCTGCCTCCAAACCGCGACCTTTTCAGATCTATTGTATCTGCCCTCAAAATCGTTTTGAGTTCTTTGGCTAGCCCCGCATTCTCTATGAGACTCCATAGGCTAGCTTTCAGATCCCCTGTGTATCTTTGGGCTCTTGGTTTTTCCTCACCCATCGTAAGGAACCTTAATCTTGACAAGCCCTCACAGTGGCAAAGTATGTGTACTACTGTTTCCTCCTCTTCCTGACAGAACCTGCAAAGCAGTTTTTCACTCAGACTTATCGTACTCATGTGTTTGTTGAGCCTACAATGCCCTGGGAGGAGTCCCACTAGTATTCTAGTTGTACATCGTTTCTGGCTTAGTAGATATTCTGTGAATGTTGACGATGGCTTTTTAATAAACTCTTTTGCCTCTCTCATTCCTGGCGAGTTGTTCCACCATTCTTGAGATTTGGTTTGCATCCATGATTTGATTCTTGTCTTCTGTATTTTTGTATAGCTTTCGCAATACCACAAAAGCGTTCTGGGCCATTCAGAGCTTTGTTTGTTCCTGCTCGGGCCTCCGCCTCTTTATTGCCCTCGTACCCTGTATGTGCTGGAGTCAGTCTGTTCTGACTGCCCAGTTCATTTAGGGTTTCTGAGCAGTCCCAAACTAGCTTTGAGTTAACTTGCATTGAGTTGACTGCTTTGATTGCCGCCGGGCTATCCGAATGGTTTTCCCTTCAAACTCTTGCCTTATCAATTCTTTTACGCAATGATGTATTGCAATAATTTTTGCCTGAAACACCGTCGCGTATTTGCCTAAGCTCAGTGAGATTCTTGTCTTTGGCTTGGCCCCATAAATACCAGCTCCTGACCTCTCTTAGGTTTTGGCGCTGTCCGTATAGACAGCAATGTCTGCATTAATAGGAGGTCCTTCCTTCCATGCCTCTCTATCTCGCATGTGAGCCGTATTATCAGTTTATGTAAAATATCCGATTAAATTTTGTTGCTTGTTGCCCTAGGGATAAATATAGGTAATTTAGTGTGAATGGAAGAGGGGGGAACTAGGGATTTTCTACTTCGAACTAGGAATTAGCAACTTCAAAAACATTAAATTTCGATTTTTCAGTCGGAATTTCCAAGTTGAAATATAAAGGAAAATTACATTTTCAGTTCAAACTAAAACTTCCAACTGCAAACTCGAACTTTCCGACTGATGAGTAGAGAATTTCAGCTTGAAGTCGCAAATATTAAATTCAGATGTTTCAATTCGGAAAATGAAATACCCAGTTACAGGTTTTTAATCTGAAAATGAAATACTCTGTACATATCCAGGATTTCCAACTGCGTACTCTGAATTTCCGAGTCGTACCTAGCTAATACAAAATGAAATGAATTGTATATCTCCCAGTATTCCTAGTTAAAACTCGGAATTTCAAAATTTCCTACTGAAGATATCATATTGTAAATAAATGAAAAGACAACACAAGACAACATCGTCGCCCTTTTCACCAAATCCATCAGCAAGTTGTATTAATTTTTCGTCCAAAGCAAAAATTGGAAATATTTCTTATACTCCATAACAAAATATCATGTAAATGTTGGAGACTTGGCAACAATGTTGAGAACTGACAACCCAACGCCTACAATTCGTGCGCCGTGTTGTCACGTTTACCGGTTCAAATGTATTCTAGTGTGAATTAATATAATAATTATTATTTAAACAAATGCATTATAAGCAATAATGTGACTGTCGTTATCTCAAGAATACAGGAATATGACTAGGACAGTGATATCACGGGTGTGATTAAGCGATGAGGTGTCAGATACGTAACGCATAAAGAGACCGGTGGCATTATTGAAGCGCTCTCGGTCGGGATCACTTGTTTGTTGATATAATTATTATTTCGTTGAATCTAATTTCGGGTTTAATAAGTTTACTTTATTTTGGTTTTGTGGTGGCCGTGTAGTTTACAATAAACCACAACATATAAGGGAACATTTTGAGACAATTGATTTTTCATTGATAATTAGGAATATTACCAATACATGATTGAGCATTTATGAATTATTAAATAACTAATATTTCCCAATCGTATTTCAACATTATGGCAACTGTGATATGGTCTGCCCCTACTTACGAAATCGTGACGTCAGTTTTTACTCGCGGTAAGTTTCTAGCCGTTTGAAAATTACGATGATTTCCGCATCTTGAAATCGACCGAAAAATTCTAAAAATATATGAAAATGAAAAGTATTCGAGTGATGATTCTATTTTAAGAAATATAAAAATTAATCCAGTCGCCTATTTTCCAGACATCAACGAATGCGAAATCCCAGGCAGCTGCTCCCAACTCTGCATCAACGACAAAGGCGGCTTCAAATGTGAGTGCGACAGCGGCTACATGCGCGACCCCAAAGACCTTTCCCGATGCAAGGCCATCGAGGGCCATGCTTCCTTGCTCTTCGCTCGCAGGAGAGACATCCGCAAAATATCCCTGGACCATCACGAGATGACCAGCATCGTGAACGAAACGAACTCCGCCACGGCCCTGGATTTCGTTTTCAGGTTAGGTTATGTTAGAATAGGTCGCGTGCACGATGACCGACCCTGGAGATGAAATATTGAAACACAACCTCACTCTTCTGTGAAACATTGAAACACAAACTCGCTTCTTTTATTTATTTACAGAGGAATCAAATGAATGGCCTTTTCATTGTGCTGTTGTACAATGCATAAAAAATGCAGCGAGAGACGAACAACTGATATAATTGTTATCGGAAGAAAATACTGATCATTACAAATATCTCTTCACTTGTACAGGCTGTCCCATTTTCGATGTATATATCTCACTTATTTTCAAAGATAGGGATCCACGGTTTTCGCGAACGTTGGTTTCTTTTTTGTGATACCGCAAACAAACTTTTCATAGCCCGCAGATAATTTACATTTTTCTAAAGATTTTTCATTGATGAGCCTGATGATGTTATAGAAAAAGTTTGTGAAGCTTTGTTTATGTTCAAATGATGAATAGAAAACCATGCAAGTTCCCCCAAGTCCCTCATTTATCCCTCAACTATCTGAGATCCAGTGACCAAAGGACACTATACTCAAAATTATTCTAACAGTATTTCTTCTATTCTTTCTAAATAATATTTTTGTATGTGTTATTTATTTATGTTACATATTAACGTGATATATTTAGTCTACATATTATTCTGACATTGAACCTCGTTTTCAGAACCGGGATGATATTTTGGAGCGACGTCACCGATAAAAAAATCTACAAGGCTCCCATTGATGAAGGAAACGAAAGAACGACCGTTATCACCAACGATCTAACAACCTCGGATGGTTTGGCTGTCGACTGGATTTATAACCACATATATTGGACAGACACTGGCAAAAACACCATAGAGCTGGCCAATTTCGATGGGAAGATGCGGAAAGTGCTGATCAAGGACGAGCTGGAGGAGCCGAGGGCCATCGCTTTGAATCCCATGGAGGGGTGGATGTTTTGGACCGATTGGGGAAGCAACCCTAAGATCGAGCGCTCGGGGATGGATGGTTCGCACAGGTAAATTTGGACATCAACACATCTTTTTTCTGACGATACACACTTTCATACTTACTATCTAGACCGCTATAATGTCATATCTCAACAACCCAAGAACCTCGGGTAAATTGCCCGACTGAAAATGATTTTGTTCAATGCGCAGGAACCCCGAAACTCAAACTATCGTTCATGGCATCGTTTGTTTCTTGCTGTTCGGAAACGTGAGTAAGAGTGAGTAAGGTATATGACAGTTCCTAATGCGCATGATTTATGTTCTCCAGCTCGATCTCGTGAGTGGCATATAGCTTCTTTCTTATAGCATTATTTTTCTTGATAGTTTATGTCAATGACGATATGCTATTATAGGCAACTACATATTTCAATGTCTGTAATGCAGGCAGCTTTGAATATAATTTTCAATTTCACATGTAGAAACTCTAAAATTGTTTTATGTAGTTCGGCAAAGAGGCGGGACGAGATTTGATAATTAGTAACTATTTTCTGAAAAATTGTCCCTCAATTCTGTCTAAATCGAAATATGTTTAATAGTTTACAGTAATTGCAAAGCAGAGCAATGCAAATCATACTAGATACTAGCCTGTAATTAGAACATACTGATACTGTTGAAAGATGTGAAGCGCCAAATTATTTGATAAATAAGCTGAATAATAAGCGGATTCGTAATAAAGAAATACTATGCAGGGAGATCAGTTCTTCTTTCCACCAAGAAATGAAATAGTGGCGGAAACTCTCGTTTTTTATTTGTAGACTGAATGAGTCAAATGAGTTGCCACACCATGATAAAAATGTATAGGCTGTCTCCTTATATTCTGACCCCCTACCTACAGCTTCAACTATACGAGGTGGAAAAAAACTTCAAATACGAAAGTTGTATGATTGATTTCATCGGTATCATCTTCTGGCACAAATAAACGAATGCTAATCGCAAAATGGAAAAAAATAGCCCAAATCGGGTTATTTTTTATTTGTAACACCCTGTGTATTTTCTGGTATTTTCAACTGTTGTGAAACATATTTTTCTTCTTTTCACAAATATATATAGTTCATTAATTTCCCCTCAAGCCGTTTTCAATTAAATTCTTTCTGGACTACTGACATTTTTGCAATATTCTCATGATAATAATATAATCTCACTTTCTCTACGGAATAATCCATTTTTATTGAAAAACTGACAGATATGTCAAAAAAGGCCTGTTTTGTTTCCATGACATTTCTGTTCTAAAGAAGTGTCCACAGCCATCTAAATGTTATCGGCAACTTTGATTCAAAGCTTAGTAAGTGAAAAATGGCTTGAGGAAACAGTAGAAAACCATATATATTTGTGAACAGTAGAAATATATCTTTCACTAGAGTTGAAAGTTAGATGCCTAGAGACTTATAAACATCTCAGTTGATAGTATTGGTACTGGTAAGTGTGGATGGTGACAGATGGCACTGCGACCTGATTAGATCTATTGTGCCCCATCTTCTTCTGCTATCTCAAGGTTTTCTTATTTATAGCAGCCCCTCAAGCTTCAATTCTTTTAGGAATTTGAGGATTATGAGGAGATCTGTTTGTGGTATTTCTTCCACGGTCAGCTGGTATGCTTCCATGTATATTCGATCTTCTGTGGTATACAGCTTAACACTCCAGCAAGATGTTGTGGGTTATTTCTGAATGTTTCCCGCAGAATCTGCAGGTGCTGTCCTTTAACCTAGCTTCCTTAGGTGTTCTTTGAGTCTACAATGCCTCGTTAGAAATCCCGTTATTGCTTTGAGGGTAATTTTGCTGAGGTTGATCAGTGTCTTCGGTCTTGTTAGGTTGAAATTGCCGAGGAGATCTTTGGCCTGCCGCAGTCCTGGAAGTTTTCGCCAGTGTGTTACTCTTTTTTTTAATTGTTTTCACAAACGATAAGATTTTCACAAAATTCTTAATCACACGACAGTAGTGCCATCAGGTAAAATACTGGTCAAATGAGCTAAACTAACCTTGGCTTGCCTTACTTTTATATAGCCTATTTTTCCAACCTGAAGGATTAGAATTACCTCTGGATAGGTTCGATAAAACTTCATTTTCGGAAGATAGACACAATATCAACATTAAAATACGGTGTACCGGATTAACTTGAAAGGGTTGATAGCAAATACATATTATTACCTACTAAGAAAACTTGAGGTCTACATAGTTGATCGTAAAGTAAAATGTTAGAATTTATGAAATCAACAAACTCAAACCACGATCGGCACGCCAACGTGATTAGAACACTAACGCTTCTACCACGCAGCTACCTGGCCCCAAGGAATCACCTATTCACCAGTACCCTGTATATTCACAGGCAGACTATAGTAAGCTACGACGTGAAATGGCCTAACGGTTTGACCATCGACCTAGTAAAGAGCCGGGTGTATTGGGTGGATGCTAAACTGAATACGATTTCGTCGTGCGATTACAACGGAAGGAACCGAAGGGTGATTTTGTTCTCGCCCGACGCGCTGAGACACCCGTTCTCCATAACGACGTTCGAGGATTGGGTCTACTGGACAGATTGGGATAAGGCGGCTGTCTTCAGAGCGAATAAGTTCACTGGGAAAGACATTAAAGCTATCACAGCCACGGAAATGGTAAGCCTTTACTATAAAATCGACTGGAATCTTGATTTGATTATTTCACTCATCATGAAATAGACTGATCAGACACCACCATTTTTTAAACAAAATCTGTTTAAATGAATGAATAAATCCAAAGACACGTTTAACCCTGGATACATTTTTGTTTTTCATATTGTTTTTTGTTTTGCCGATTATCACTGATTCTTACTATTATTGGCAACAGTTTATGAACATAGATTGATTTCTCAATGACTTAATATTGATTTTCATCAGTAAAAACTATTTGAGATAGATTTTTCATACAATTCATTTGACATAAGGCGATGAAAATACATCAGAATATGAAATATCTACAGGCATAGTTTGTAAGAAAGCTTCTATGATGCATTCTTCAGAAGCAGGTAATAGAAACACAAACATTATCAATTGAGAGTCATTCTGAAAAGTCGCTTGAATTGGTTAAATGAATCAGTGAAATTAAATATAATGATAGTATAGATCTGACGATTTATAATTATTTGTCGTTGATCTCATTCCAAGTTATCCAGGAAATAATCTAGCAGTATACACCTCGAACTATAAATTTAAATGGATCAAATTCATGGGTATTGGGATATGATATATAAATAAAATAATATCCTTTCTCAAGATCGTGGAAGATAATCTTTTTTCAAGTGTTGTGATAGTTTGTGTGTGGTGACATTTTATCTCTCTTTAGCGCAAACGTAGGGGTTTGTGTTAATCGGATTCGCAGGTTTGAAGCACCACCGTTTTCGAATAGAATCGATTCAAACATGGACTTACATAGGTATACCATAAAATATGCTTAATATGGTAAATTACTATTGAGAAACACTTTTCATCTGATATTATGATGACCCAATTTGTTCCCCATGAGATGTTATCCAGATTTTTTGTAATGATGATTTAACACATTATGCTTATAGTTTGATTCCGAAATTATATGATTTGAGAGTTCATAACATTTTTCAATCGATTTTGCCACTTATTGTTTCCCTAGGCATTTCAACTACCAGACATTACTGAACAGGCGACTGCAATGGTATTATTCATTATTTTGATAACATTGTGCTATTTCCAACATCAAATTTGGACATCCTATCAAAATGTGTGTTTGTTTGCATTTATTAACACCCATCATGTTGATAAATGTAATTGAGTGATTTGGAAATTGTAGCAAGTCTTGAAATATGAAGTGTTTGAAATATCCCAGTTCCGACTAGTTATACAAGGTTTCCCAGAACAACGTACCAAAAATTCTACAGAGTGAACTGAAGACCAAAATAGGCCGATTGAAATCTACTTAGGTATACGAAAATGCACCGTTGAGCCGTTGAAGAAAAAAAAGAAAAATTTCATTTCCAGATTTCCTTGATAATTCCAAAATCCTTGAAAGGTGCTGCTTTAAAATTCGTTGGGCAATTTACTATCGTGAATTTCTATGAAAAACATGTCGTATCAATTTGAACAATATACAGGGAGATAGGTTTTTCGCATTCTCTTTGATTAAAATTGATGTTACTTTTCTGGAGTATGCCACTGACCACATTTTGATATTTCTATGAATGACAAAATCAATTATCTAACTCTTTCCTTGCCGCAGTTTTTTTTATATATTTTTTTGTTTTTTGGAAATATCCTAACATTTATTCATTTTGGTGCTTCTCCATTCTTGTTCATGATGTGTCACGATTATCATTTTGCATGTTTCCACCTCATTTGTGTTGAGTTATTCACGACATTAATCATGTTTATCAACTACTTTAGCAATGATAAGGTTTTGCTGGTTATCTTCAATTTTTGTTTTCGAATAGTTTTCTTGTGAGAAATAAAGAATGAAATTTGGAAAATACCAGCTCCCATATGATGATGAACTTACGAAATGGTGAAAATGGATTTACAACACATGATCGGTTATCCTGACATTTATAAACAAGTATGGAGAAGCATCAAAATTAATTTTGTTCGATGTCTCGCAAACCAAAAAAAAAAATGCAGTCAGAAGAGACAAAAGATGAGACGAACTGGCGAAGGAATGAACTGATGTCCTAGAGCCAGTATTTCACATAGTAGAGGTAGCTACATATGGTATCATAGGTCACCGGACCCTACAACAATACCAGAAATTGGATATGTTCTGTTGTTTCATCATTCTCTAGAGAGAGACGGTGCGCCGACACATACGAGAATCCAAGTCTCGACTTTTATTAGTGACCTTTGATTTTGTCGTTCATTGAAATATCGAAATGTGGTCAGTAGCGCACTCCAAAAAAGTTACATCAATTTTCATTAAAGAGTGCGAAATATTCATCTCCCTGTATATTGATCTAATTGGTATGACACGTTTTTCATGCACATTCACGATAGTAAATTGCCCTACCAATTTAAGAGCCGTACCTTCCAAGGATTTCTAAATATTCATGAAAATCTGTAAAAAAACTATTTTTTATCGCCCTGTCACGGCTCAACGATGCATTCCTATTTTGGTTCACCCTGTATAATTTATGGTGCGTTATTCTGGGACTCCTTGTTTATCAAAGTCTATATGATTACTCGGAATTCCCACTTCATCCTATGGAATAAGACTGAAAATTTCGGTATTTCAGATTTGTCCACATTTTCCAAGAGAGCTCGAGTACTATACCGGGTGACACAGGCTATCGGGCCACCCCTGTAACTTCTGCATTCGTCAACGGATTTTTCTGAAATTCGGTACAGTTATATAAGCAACTATTGCGGATTTGATCACATCACAATCCAATATGGCGGACTTCCGGTTTTTCTGGAAATGCCAACAATTTTGTTTTTTCAAATGGAACACCCTGTATATTTTTACATATTCAAGTTCAACAGGTCATAACAAGTGCAATCTTGATGTCAAATGTCATTTATTCCACAGCCCGCCTAGTTGAAAAATGATTCTAACTGCAAGGAAATTCATGACTAGTTGTTGATTTTTGAATGTATACAATTTGTTACTGCACCGAAAAACAAAAATGATATTTCATTTTGTTCCTTAATGTATGTTCTAGAGAAACGGGTAGGTGGCCCATAGGGGTTTCATTTGAAAAAAAATAATTTTTGATCAAAAAGTGATGTGGCTGAATTGATTCCTGGATAAGTGACACAAAAAATAATTTTTCAGAAAAAATTATGTTCTTCTGTTATGTGTGACTCATTGTGAATAGTCTTGACCACATCTCATTTATCCACGAGGTAAAATGAAGAAACAATTTAACTTTAATTTTTTTCGAAAAAATGACATTTGAAATAAAGATTGCACTTGTTTCGACCTGTTGAACTTCATTTGAAAAAACAAAGTTGCTGGCATTTCCAGAAATACCGGAAGTTCGCCATATTGGATTGTAATGTGATCAAATCCGAAATAATTGTTTATATAACTGTACCGAATTTCAGAAAAATCTGATGACGAAAGCAGAAGTTACAGGGGTGGCCCGATACCCTGTGTCACCCGGTATTATCGAATTTTCGTACCTGAAAATGGGTCAACTGAATCCAAACTCGGAGGGTGTTGCCGGTTGAAATCTTACACACTGTGTTTCATTTCAAATTTATTTCTGAAATTTAAATTTCAGTGACAGACTTGCCGTGGCGTCAAGCTGTGATTTGGATTCCTAAGAATCTTGATAATTTGTCAGTCATCGACCAGATTCAATTTTGCCATTATGAAAGCTTAAACTATCTAGAAGAAATTAACCCCTTAAATAAGCCACAAGGAGTCCCCTCCTCCAATTATAATTCAGTTTGGGTATATTCCGTATAAAAATCAAAAAAACCACTGAAACTGACAGATACTTGTGAGTAGACATACTATTCATTCCGAATATTTCGACTCAACATTCTGCTGACATTTCTGACTGTCAAAAGGTAGTGTGGCTTCAGTGAACTGTCATTATTTCAGAGTGGGAAGGAACGTCACATTTATTTCCGTTGTTTTTTAAACATTGTCTTGTCATCAATAATGAATCAATAACATCTTTTTCAATATCAGAAAATGCCTGTTATTTAAATAATTGGCCGGATAAACGAAAAACTACACAGAAGTGACAACCTGACAACTGACAAGTTTCACCAACTGATCAACTGCTGCTGATTACTGATGAAAACGTGTTCCGAAATACAGCACTGTATTTTTGCTTTTATATTTTGGAACACAGATTTTCAGCAGAGTCAGTGGATCTACTGACAGTACTGACCAGTTGAATTCGGAATACAGAGCCTCAGTCATAACCCACCAACATACATACTTTTCCAGATTCAAAATCCTATGGTCATTCATGTCTATCATCCGTACAGACAACCGGACGGTGAAAATCATTGTCAAGCAGTCAATGGTCACTGTTCTCATCTTTGTTTACCGGCCCCGCAAATCAATAAATTGTCTCCGAAAATATCTTGCGCATGTCCAGAGTCACTTCGGATGATGGACGATGGGCTTACCTGCGTACAGGATGGTAAGTTCAGTGTAACCTGTTTTGTTTTCATCAAATCCTAAAGGACTATTACAGGTTCATGATGCGCAATATATGGATTGTGGATGATGATTGAATGTGTGTTGGGTATTGAGTGATTGAATGCAGAATGCTAATATGATGATGAAGCAGCAGATGTATGTGTTATCTTACATCTAAATGATGCAAAAAATGGGGCATATACCTATCGCTTCATGAATAAAAATTTTATAAGGCTGGCCCGCTTCAAATGGGTCACTGTATGAAACGGCAAGGGTTATATGAGACATCAGGTACATTTTTTTTTTCATTTTTGACGCTTTGGTAATTTCAATTTCACAATGTCTGTCAGATAAACAAATGACTGATATGGTGTATTTGTTTATTACAAAAATTAAAAATTAAGTACTTCAAATCAGTATAGCAATTTATTGCACTTATAAGCTTTTTTAGTAACGTCAAATAATCTCATCTGTATCTCAAAAACTCATCGTCTTGTATACTCAGTTCTTTGAGAACAATATTTGTACAGGGTGATTGACTATGGATTTCTCGACTTCAACAGCTGATATCTCGAAAACGAAAAAAGATATTTGAAATTTGGAGAAAGGTTCTTGAATGAGATGTCATTTCCTTCTAGAAAATGTGTTCTCTGCTTGATTTTATCATTTCATATACAGGGTTCGTGAAAAAAAATTGTTTTTTCAAATAGAACCCCCTGTATATAATCGCATATTTCAAAAGAGCTATCTTTCCTGATTTCAAAGATATATACTTTTCATATATTCTATCGAGGGCTTGACGAAATATCAGCAAAATTAAATATTAATATTTGGTCCAAGTTAGCTATGGTTGAAATAGAATGAGATGATGAATAAGTGAATTGACAGTTGGCCAACATTCCAGTGACATAAGTGCGCAAAATTTCGACAATTTTCTCACGATGCCATATCCACTGGAACAAAGAAGAGATATTTTGGAGTGCTATTTTTCAGTTAATAAAAATCTTGCTGAAACACTTACACTTATACTTACTTATATTTAATCTTTCAGATATGACAAGACAAAATTCAATCCGCTTCTCATTATCATCATAATTGAGTTTGTGGCATGGTCTAATTCTGAAATCCCTATATTTATATTTCCTTAAGGTATGTTGAACAAAATAATAGCTGAAACCAATCTCTCTCACTGCATTTCTTATTGACCGTGAAGGATCCTCAAAAAAATACTGGATTACAAGAAGTTCCTCGTCTTCGTTTTCTTGCCTTCAAACTATTCTCTTGATATTCGACAAACTGTTAGTTCTGTCAAATTTAGCAGCCAAATACTTTACATAATTCTTACTTAGTAATCTCCTGCCTGGATAACTCCTCATAAACTTATGAAGTGTTTCAGCAAGATTTTTATTAACTGAAAAATAGCACTCCAAAATATCTCTTCTTTGTTTCAGTGGATATGGCATCGTGAAAAAATTATCGAAATTTTGCGCACTTATGTCACTGAAATGTTGACCAAATGTCAATTCACTTATTCATCATCTCATTCTATTTCAACCATAGCTAACTTGGACCAAATATTAATATTTAATTTTGCTGATATTTCGTCAAGCACTCGATAGAATATATGAAAAGTATATATCTTTGAAATCAGGAAAGATAGCTCTTTCGAAATATGCGATAATATACAGGGGGTTCCATTTGAAAAAAAATTTTTTTTTTACATACCCTGTATATGAAATGATAAAATCAAGCAGAGAACACATTTTCCAGAAGGAAATGACATCTCATTCAAGTAACTTTTTCCAAATTTCAAATATCTTTTTTCGTTTTCGAGATATCAGTTGTTGAAGTCGAGAAATCCATAGTCAATCACCCTGTACATAACCTCAACTAACCATTGTCAATTTTTTCATGATTGGAATCATTACGCCTCGTCGAAAAAAAGTATAAAACATGTCACAAGTTGAAGTCAGTGACATACATTTCATTGTTTCTGAACCTAGAGTGTGCAGAAAAATTCATATATTTAGTGGTGACAAAAGCTTTGACATTTCTGCTTTTTTTAAAATTTCTTTAGAGGTTCATGTTATTTTGTATACCCAGAACTTTAATGTGAAACAATGAAATGATGTTCTCTATTTCTTCCAATTAATTTTTTCCTTCAGTTGTTTTATTGCTGTTTATTTTTTTTTGAAATTCCCACTTGTTCCATATACCCCTTCGCAATGTCGAATGTAACACGATTTCAATTTTTCACGAGGGTAAGATATGATATAAGTAAATATGATATTGTTTCATATTACCCGTGCCCAAGGGTCAAATGAAACTCAAAAAACAAAAAAAAACAAAAATAGACGGGTCTATCAAAAAACAAGTGAAATCCATTGAGATATACCTTTGTATACTCTTCAAATAACCACGAATATTTCGATGCGTTCCGATTTTCCAGAACGGGGATAATCAGATGACGGTATCTGTTAAGAAACAAATTCTAATTTTTCCACAGTATTATCGCCATTTCCTTTATGATGTGGGTGTGTTTCTGTGTGTATATGGCAGTATTTTGTTGCAAAGCATGACAGTATAATTGCATTGTTTTATCAATTTTTTCTGCAGCTGGTCTTCTGTTAATAATTTTTATTTTTTTTTTATTTCGTTTAACAGAAAACCTCACAACTACCCCCTATTCAGTGACATATTCAGATTTTACTACAGAGTTCATAGATTTATTTACAGAGAGTGAGTACACAATTACCAAGAATGTCTTTAACTTGGTGATGGCCTTCCTCAATAACAACTACTGTTTGACTTTTCTTTGCCTTTGCTTTATTTCTTATAGTGTTTTAGTGTTTCTTTTTCTTCTCATTATTTCAAAATAATGACTGGTTCGTGAATCTACTGCCCACAAAAATGTATACTTCATTATTCATATATTGACTAAAAAGCAAACTATATAGATTATTCCGAATTTTGGAACGGCATTTATAGACATAAAAGTTAAGGTACCAATTTGAGCAAAGCTTATTTGTGTGTTACAAATTGGTATCTTTGTTATAATAAATAGGCGATCTAGTGTCATCAATGATTTTAATCTATTTTCTCCAAAGGAGAAAAATTACCTATTCATATGCAGGAGTCTTCAATTGACCAGTCATCATTTTAATCGTCCTCTCCCTCTTCTCCTTTTTTGTTTGCTCTGTCTGCATTTTTTTAGCTCATGTGCGTATCTGTAATTATTTCATCACAGTTATTCATTTATTAGGTGCCAACAATAAGTCTCATCCAAGTGCCCCAGGCAGTGAAACTTCAGATAACGGGATGATAGCTATAATTACAATTGTCATAGGCCTGGTTGGGGTACTGATAGTAGCGGCGGTAAGTGTTGAAAAATTTTTGTACAATCTAATTGATCTCATTTAGGTGGTACTTTTCTTTGCTTTGACAGTTGCAAGGACAATAATGGCAAAAATATTTTAATCATTTTACAAAGTTATGATACAACAGATCCTGATATATGATTTCAGTTGTTCCTAATGCTCACTATTTCTGATGCCTGAGGTGACCAATTGGCCATTCCAATAATTAATATTTTTGGAGCAACTTCATAACTTTTGAGGCGTTCCTATAATAATGATTCAAGAGTTAGAATTGAAACACCTTTTCTTCACACAGAATCAATCAATCTACTGGATTATATTGGCATGAATTGGAGGGATAATTATTGAGAATAAATAGAACTCCATCCTCAATAAAACTACCATTTATATATTATGTAGTACATCAAGTTTGTTCCTAATGCTCACTATTTCTGATGCCTGAGGTGACCAATTGGCCATTCCAATAATTAATATTTTTGGAGCAACTTCATAACTTTTAAGTCGTTCCTATAATAATGATTCAAGAGTTAGAATTGAAACACCTTTTCTTCACGCAGAATCAATCAATCTACTGGATTATATTGGCATGAATTGGAGGAATAATTATTGAGAATAAATAGAACTCCATCCTCAATAAAACTTCCATTTATATATTATGTAGTACACCAAGTTTATTCCAAATGCTAAATAAAATCTCACGTTAGTGAGCGAATTTCCTCAAAATCTATTATTCAGTTGTAGTTGAATGAAAATCACCTTAAATTCTCGCAATTCAAAGATACTTTAGCCGTTAAGCCGTTGAATTGTATTTCTTGGCTCATTTTGTTTTTATCTCTTGGAGCACACCAAAGGAATTTTCTCATTCTCGTGAGAGGATTGTGCCTAAAGGGTTTATGTTCACTTTAGGAACACCCTGTACAAAGTTTCTTTGAACATCTCAGGTTTGAGACTTTCAAAAGGTAGTTCGAATTATTCAACAATGTCAACCATGATGGCTGTGTGCCATGTGTGGACCAATAATTTTTGAATTTCTACATCATCAATGATATGGTGGAGGAGCCAAAACTTCAAAATTTCCAAGTCAGATGTTCACATACAATGATAATTACTAGAATCTCATACTTACTATTCAAAACAACATATCGACTTTTTCGTTTCTTGAATACATTTTCCGTCTCTATTGATGTTATGCAATTTCAATCAACACACAAATGAAGAAGAAAAATTATTGATGCAATGGATTAACTGTCAAACACATAAAACATTTTGTGTAGGTACACCGCCTACTAAGTGAAATAATTATGAAAAAATAGACTGATAGCCCTGTTTATCATCGTATAAGAGGAACAATTTTACTTTTATTATTCCAAATGGGAAGATCATGTGATAGGTACATGGCGAAAATAAAAGACAGATAGCTCCCGTACGAGTAGCAGAATTCGAAAAAATATGTTCCTATCTTAAATTCCTCAATATCATGAGTTATTTTCGAAGGTTTTCATCTTGACTCAAACAAGCTATTGACAACCTGCAGACATTGATCAGAATATCAAAACATTTTGAATAATATCGGTTTACCAATGATCTTTAAATTTCAAAGCCTACCAAGTGTCGATGTATCATCGAATTCATGTCACAGCCAACTAGCCCAATCACCTTAGTATCAAATTTGACGAATAGCGGGAATCAAACCCAAAGTTTTGAAAATTGGTGTACATGTTCACTTTGGCATGACTTTCAACCAAAAAAAAGTCACCAGCTGTACCTGTAGAGCTAACTCCGCCATCTTGAAAAATGTGTGCACTTTTTCAGTTATTCGGTTATATCTCAATATCTGTTGACTTTATCGGGATCAATATGCTTAGGTAAAATGAAGGTAATTGAATTTAGAAAAAAAGAGGCCCCTACATAAATATTCGTGTAGTGCATGGTTCATCAGTAAATCGTAAAACAATATGCGATATTTGAGAAACTCACTCACAATTATTCCGATATTATATTCCATCTACAAGTAAATGTCAGAGAGTCGGCGCCACATTCGAGGATCCTCGCAACAGCGATCGGCCATTACAGAATACCAGTGTTGCCACATATCCAGGTTTTCTCAAGTGAGCCGACCTGTAACCTAAAGTAGCTCGAAGAGCAAGAGTTTGATGTTGAAATAAATGAATTGTAGCCCCTACATAAACTCAATCGAATCAGATTTAAAATAATTCTGAGATATCTTGAATGAATATTGAAATAAAATTATTGCTTTCACCATTCATGCAAAAATAGCTGAACTTCATACAGATACAAAAAAACGAAGGGTTCAAGGCACAAAGCAAGCAGTGGACAATGCGGATTCGCTAATAATACAGACATCTGTTGAAATGTCTTCCTCCACCCAAGTCACCGTTGTTGGAGAAGATGTAGATCTACTTATTCTACCCATAGCTTTGGCTACAGCAGAATGCAACATTTATTTTGTCAAACCAAAAAGAGGCAAAGAGGTACTGTTCCCGCGAACTACAAACCAGTACTAAATTACAGAACACTATCCTTTTCTTACATGACTTTGGGTGTTGTGGTACCACATCATGTTTCTTCAGAAAAGGAAAGTCGAAATGCTTCACACTCATGAAGGACCAGCCGTCATTACGAGAAGTTGCGAAGACTTTCAACAACCAGGAAGCAACGAGTGAAGAAGTATTTGCAGCACGTGAACGATTCGTCCTAGCTCTGTATGGTGCCCATACAACGGAAACATCATTGAACAACCGGTAGGTACAATATGTTCGCTAAATCTGCTACCAACAAGAGAGTAGATCTGGCTTCTCTGCCACCGACGGAAGCAGCTTTGAGGCAGCACTCCTTCAGAGCCAATCACCAGATACAAAAATGGTTGGGTAATCAAAAATGTCCTGAGCTTTGGGGGTGGAAGAGGAGTGCTGTTGGTCTGGTACCTGTGCCAACTACCCTATCTGCTGCTCCAGATTCTTTGCTCCAGATAATTTCTTGCAATTGCAAGGAAGGATATGCACGGCATCGTTTTTTCCCGTTTCATCCCTCATAAGTAATGAATACGGACGAACCCGATCCGATGCATGTATTCTCAAATGACGAAGATGACATGCTTCATTCTCCAGAAATTTAAGAAGAACACCAATCCCTACCCTATTTCCCTTGGTCTTCACGATGTTCTCTGAACATTATTACAGGATATCTCTTATCTCTTCTCGGGGGAACCAGAACATAAAAAAAGCGAATACTGATTGGATAAAACGTAATTATGATTTCAGCCTGTCTGGACTTGAATTGAACGATTATAGCTATATAAATGCTTTTCTGCAAGTCACCAGGAGCGTATCTAACTGAATTATAGTTTGTCCAGTCGGTTTGCAGTAGAATATCATATTTTGCCAAATGGTTGTGGCGACATAAGTCCAAAACCGTGGATATTTCGAAAATAATTGAGAGATATTTTTTTACGAGAAATTTTGTTAGCTTCCTTTTACCTCATCACCTTTATCGCAATAAAGTTGACAGTTACCGAGATATACGTGAAAAACGGAAATATTGCACCTATTTTCCAAGATGGCGGCGCAAGCTCTACAGTTACGGGTGGTGACTTTTTTTTGGTAAGCTGTAATGCTTGAAGGAACACGTACACCAATTTTCAAAACTTTGGCTCCGATTCCCGCTATTTTTCCTAAGGTGACTGGGCTAAACTTATTCTTTTTGAATAAAAAGCAATTCAACAGTGAATTAAGGAATAAATGCCACTTTGTGATACATGGTTGGATAGAGAATTCCAAGGCGAAAAAGATAGACTGAAGAAATGTACAGGGTGACTTTAAAAAAAAAGTTGGGGTCACTCGTAAAGTTCGTAAAGTGCGCTACCATTTATTATATACCCGTGTGTGTATACTATAATATATCTATATACTATAGTACTTGAATTCGTTAATGTTTTAGGTGATATACTTCCTATACAGACATCTCATGCATCGTAACATGACCTCTATGAATTTCGACAATCCAGTCTACCGTAAAACAACAGAAGATCAATTTTCGTTAGAGAAAAATCACTTTCAAGCTCAAACAAGACCATATTTGAGTACTGTTGGTGAAGAGGTAAGAGCTTTGACTTTGGATTATAATAATATGATGTCAAGATAATCAGTCCATAGTTATTCTGTGAAATCACTGATATTAATTTGAAGGACCCAAGTAGTACAAGTACTTAGCCATACAGGTGAGATAATTTAATGTGAATTATCTACGAACTAATTCGAAATATAATAAATGAATCACTTTCAGCTCAAAAATATCGGACTTTTCAACTTCAAAAACTTTTTGTCTCTAAATCGAAGCACATGTAGGGCTCATTTTGATAGGAGAATATCATAATTTTTGTATGGACTTTCTGTTGCCAAACTACTTCACATATCAAAATTCTCAGCTCGTATTTATTCAGCTTAATTCACGATAATTTGGCCATACTGGCTATTACAGAACTGTCACCAATTTTATATCGTTTTCCACTCGTGGCACTAGCTCGAACTTTTTCGGCACTGAGTGGATTTTGCGTGGTCCACTGAGACTTTCAAGAGCGATCTTTTGTCGAGAAATGATTTCCACTGGCTTTTAAACTTGCTCGATGCCCGCTCAGAGTTCGAGTTTTGAGAACTGTGCTTGTACGACAGTGCGATACACATAACCTCAAATATTCGAGTCACGAGTTGGAAAATGTTTCGAATTTGAATAATTATGAATGTCTCATTGAAGTCCATTACTATTATTACAATAATTTCCAAAATCATAGATACTTCGGATATAATAAGTGATGATGAAAAAATTATAATTGAGATACAGAAGCACTTCATTACGAAACAGCGTTTACGGAAGATTCAAAATTACCTAAAAGTTGAAGACAGCTATTCAGATGTGCAGGTATCGAACAAATATGGTTGTTGATTCAGTGTAATGGTGAAAAATATACTAACTTCGTGAACGACACTTCAATGCTACATCACTATTGTCGAATGATTCAATAGTTGAACATCATTGACAATGCACATTCATATATATAATACTGTTTCTGGTTGGTTTCTGGCAGTGTTCACAGGGAAACCACAATACGAGGTAGATGAATCCATTTCATGTGGACCAACGGAACCAAAATATACTTTCGATACTTCAACTTTTTGATTGACAAAACAACGGCGAGTGGAAAACGCTATTATCTAATATTAAATAAGTTATGCATTGTTAACAAAATATTCCTTGGTTGAGGAGTGGAAACGTTTTTTATTTATTCGAATGGTATAATGTGTATCATAGTTTTTCACCTAACTTTTTTAAGTATAAGGACATTCCTCACTATCTTCCATGCTTAACAAGATAATGCCATTTTACTAGAAACGTGGATCGGGAATTGGAATATTTTCCTCTTCTGAATTGGAGGCGAATCATTGTTTTTGTGTCAATCATAACGTTCAGATTTCGAGGGATAGTAACATTAAATGTCCAATTTCAGCTCATATAAAAATACTTCTGACTAATCATTGGTCTAATAGTACCTATAAATGTAACTTGCGGTAACTAAATATGGTCATGAAAACTTGTAAGTGAGTAATTTTAGCTTGTATTGCCAAATGACTTTTAGTGCTACTTGGGGATTTTCTCTGTAAATAGCTTACACGTTATTATTGTTGTTGTAACATAACTGTGTTATATTACAGACAATGTATTCCAAATCAACCAAACTTACATAAACAAATGTGCATTCAATCCAAAATTCTAGAGAAAAAATAGATTTTTCTGTATATTGTCTGTGGAATAACACTTTTTAATAAGTTACATGTGTCATCAATGGTGAATTACTATTTCATATAAAAGTAACTTATTTCAGTATTAATTTCCACAAATTATAAAAGACTTGAAATGTTACTTTTTTAGTATTAGGTGATTATACTCCTGTCCATCAGTATTAGCTTCATATTGGATTGCAATCATATTTTTGTAATCAATTTATAATACAAAGCTGTGCCAAACATAATGTAGCTTAAATATACAATATAAGCTCACATAGATTATTATGTATATTGAGTGGAATAATCATAATTTCCAAAATATATGTAGTATAATTATTATCATAAGTGGTTCCAGTTGATATATAGGTTTCATTATTGAGCTCGCGTTTCTGAAGGATTTAGTAAAATAAAAAATCTATATATCAAATTCAAGGATGATAGATTAATTATCAAAAAATAATTTTTTGATGAGCACATTTTTTGAAGTAGTCATTGGTAATTTCAATATACTGTTCTAACATTAAAAACCACTTCATTTTAGTTGATTAATGTTGAATGTTGATATAATTTGATCATATTCTATAAAATTCATACTTGTTATGGTATTGTTTCATTGTCCAGCAGTTAATTATTTCCAATTTTTGTATTTTTCATTGACATAAATTTTTTTTTCACGCGTCATGAAATGTTATGCTATGAAATTGGTGAGTAATTTAACATTTATTATATTATAACCTTGATGCTGGAGGTTTATTAAGTAGTATCATCTTCATAGATGGTTGTCATCTGTGTTCATACATATACAGGATGTTAAGTCGTAAAATTGACATACTGCAACCCAACCTAGAGGAGATTGAGGTGAGTTCTAATCATATAGATAGATTTGGGTGTAGTATGTCCGTTTTATCATGCCTCAATATACTGCATATAGAACAATTAGTTTTTCGATGCTGATAACTGATTGAATAGTTTGGCGTTTATAATATGATTGGTAAAAATTATTAATTTCTTTTTCTATTTCCAGGCCCAAGAACCTTTAACTAAAGCAAATGCAGGTGATTCTGTTTAGGAACTTGAGGTGTTTTCAACATGAAGACATTTTGTTCCATTACCGTTCCAAAGATGCATATCTAGTTTATTTTCAAACTTCTAATTTCATGAGACTGATACAGTGACAATTTTTCAATTTCAATGAGATAATCTTCAAGTTGATACTGATTTTCAGGTTGCCAATTGTCTGATGTTGAAAGTTTGCCCTCCATTTCTCAAAAATATCAAATTTGGGATAGATTATTATTTTTGTTTGAAAATTTTCAAGATCTTAATTTTTGAAATTATGAGTCTTTGAAAATTAACTAAGCATGCATGGATTAGTAATCCAAAGATTGCCTGCCAGCTTTGTTAATTTGTCTTCAACAATTTTTCACCAGGTCTTGATATTGAAAGCCAGTTTTTACAATTTTGGACGGCTTTTTAAATTGATGTAAAAATCTGTTGTTTTCATCACCTTTTTAAAATAGATTTGGTTCAGTTTAGTGCAGTGAATATCTGTACATCATAATATATCAAATTTGTTTCATAAGAAATATCTACAGTTCTTTTATAATAAATAGTTGACGTCTAAAAAATTTCACTTCCATCATTGCAATGTTTCTTCGAATTTCTAATTTATGTTGTCCCTCGAGCGTGGTTTGGAAATCATTGAAAACAACAGATTTATCATAAACAAATCCGCTGGCCAATTTTACTGTTTTGGTGAACATGAAGTAATGCCCTGCTAGTTCAAATTTGAGGGAAATGTAGGAAATGTGGCATTTCAGGTAACAGTTTAAATTATTAGAGATTGGTTTATGGCAGACCTGAACAGAGAGAATTGCTCAGTTAAACTGAATAAGTAGCATATCTGTTCTAAAACATGAATGCCAATTAATGTGATTTTAGTGTAATTCCTAAAATAATTTATATGTAAATATTCTGTTTATTTCAAGTGATCATAGGTTTTTGTATAAATTTGTTAGTTTATTTTGTATGTATATATATAATGAATTAATTGAATCATCACCAGCTATTCAATTTCACAGTATGATTTAATTGCATCACACAATCTGTAAATAGGTTTATTTCAAGAAAGTCAAAATGGCACTAGGTGAATATTTGGATTAGGAAGGATATTATTATCTGTGAACCTACTAGCTCTGAAATTCTGTGATTGATTTATTTATCATAATTTACATTGGTGAATATTTTTTATTAAACAAAATTTTAAATTATTCCTCATATTTATCTTGATTGTTTTATTTCTTATATTAGCTAATCTGTATCGAAATAAAATTACATACAAAATGTTTCAGTACTTTTCATCTTCCTCACCAGCGGTATTTTTATGTACTGATGTACCAAATGAAGAAGATTCTCTTTTCACAAATCTTCAATGAATTTCTCAGAAGGATAGGAGAGGGATGAAGCAACTATACATAGATGTATATCCTCAAAGTAGTTTGGTTCCTACCTTATAATTCATGGAAGATTACTTGATTCAATGGGGAAGACCACTGAAGGAAGAAATCCGTGCAAACCTCTTTCAATCGACGAATCATGATTTACGTCTTATGTACACTCAATATTATAAGTTTCAAAATCAGCATATTCCATTCGATATTTCAAAAAGTCGAATATGATGGTGGAGCCGTGACGTATTAGTCCCGAACTGTAGCTATCCCTCTCTGATACCTCGTCATATTCTGCAGTGTTGCAGTGTGATTCGTCAGTTCAAGGGCAATAGGCGTGTTGGGACTGAGACGGCGCACCAGGCACACCAAAATGAATTAACAAACATTCAAATGGCGCAAGAATTGTGTGGTTTGAAATGGACATATTTTAATTTATTTTTTTCATCGTCTTAGAGCATGTATGAAAAAATTCAAAATTAATTCACTGGTAGTTTTTCAGTATACAGTTCATGATAATGTCATTTAAAAACATCAGTGGTCTCCTCCATTCAAGATGAATGAGATAAAATATTCGAAAAGGTAAATATTCATGTTGTATCTATTAATCTGTAACAATCAAGAAGTTCATAATAGCTTGACCCCTAGAGTTAAATTGAATCAAGAGTGCATGAATCCACTTCCACAAATTCATTTTTCAAATGATTCTGTTTTGGGTACTCTTTGTTCCCTAGAATTCTACTACTATCCAACAATACACTTGTGTATTCTGGTCATCATTTGTCAAACTCTTGTAGTATACAGGGTGTTTCAGATTGTAATCGAGAAAATTTGATGGACCATAGTAGAACTAGAAGTTCATATAAACTTGTTTATTTTTTAGCTACGTTTTCGAGATACAGGATGTTGACGTTAAAAATATTCGTATTTTTTCATGTGAGCTTTCATAATGCCAATACATTCCGTGTTGTCGGCATGGGCGTCATTAAGGGGGGACAATAATTGCCCCCGCCCCCTGATTTCATACAAAGAATAATTGTATTTTACAATGAATCTTCCTGTATCATAATGACACACACACACACACACACCTACTCGATTGAGGAATATCTATTGTTTGAAAATGTTTTATATGTTATGCAGCATAATATTAATAATATTAGGTATGAATCATAAAATGTAACCGAAAAAGGAACCATCAATTTCCTGAAATGTGAAAACTGGTGCCTTCGAATATACACGAAATGAATCGCTATTACTTAACAGATTATTTTCCATCAAGTATACGTCCGACTCCGGACAATAGAGTGATGAGTTACATGGTTATTTCTTTCTGAACATTGGTGTGCAATATGTATTCGCATTAAAATCTCTTTTTCATACATACTGGATGTAGCAATTACATCGTGTTTTTTCATGAAATTTGTAACACCCTGTAGGTGCAATAGTTACTCTATCGAGCTGGAATTGAAATAGTCACACTAGCTTTATATTTTTTCAACAATTCTTTCTTGGATCCACTCCATTATCTTTCCTAATACTCGAGAAACACTATTTTATAGCATCACATAATTTTATGGAAAATTAATATTCAATTTAAATAAAAAAAAAACGAAACAGGATGCGAAGACATATAATAAGTTGAAGGAAAGGGTCAGTAGCGAGTATATTTCCGCCGCAGGCTCGAAAAACTTCTTAGCAAAGACGGTATATATACCCAATAAAATAAGAGGCCTAATGTCAAGTTGGTCCGCAGGTCTTTCCAAATTTGAATCATCAGTCTCCAGAGGCGGACTGGACCTTTGAATCGGCCCGGGCGAATTGAATCCTACCGGCCCATCTTCGGAGAAAATTTTGAAGCTAATATAGCTATTTAAATAATTTCATTACATATTTGAGTGACATAGACAAAAACGCAAAAAAAATATTACAAATAATTCTGATTCTAATCAAACTTAAGCGAAAAAATTAGTCGATAAAACACCAAATATGCTGAAGAAAAATGAAATGAATAACATAAATAACATTGTATAAATGAAAAATTAAAATAAATTAAATAAAGGATATTTCTATCGTATAGAGGAACACAAGGCATTTCGTAAATAATATTAAAGCTACAAAAATACTAGGAAAATTATCTAACCAAAATAAAACATAAGCCGCATTAGAAATTGAAATTAAAAAACGAGTGAACCATGGATCCCCATTTTTCAACAAAATCGAAAATGATATCGTCGCTTCCTAAAATCTTTTTTCGCAGCTCATCATCATGAAAGTCCCCAAATGTTCTTGGCTCAGATAATTTCTTAGCCTAATCAAGATAAATTTCGATTTTGAGAAAGATCTTTCACACGAAACCTGCGATACTGAAAGGGTGAGAATCCTCCATGAATTGTATTTGTGCAAAACATGGTAGCAACAAAGTGAAAATGTTTTGCAAAACTTGTGTTTTGATGAAATCAATTCCTCTTCTACACCGAAGACATAAGTTCCACCATCAATCATATCTTCTGACAAAGTACTCGACAGTCTTTTCCACTGCGGGGTAAAATCTATCAAGGTCTATTTCATTAGCAGGATGATAATTTGTGATATTTTCATAGATCATCCTTATTGAGTTTTCAGTTGATATTATTTGATCATCAGTGAATCTCGACGGATCGAATAGTTCAAAATCGTAAAACAATTCTTTAGGTTTCTTGAATCTGGATTCGAGTGCGGTGATAATATTATCAATGGTTATACATTAAAAGTCCCAATTTTGAATTTCTTGATGGGATTTTGATGTGCTTCATGATCACCTTCCTCATCAAAGAAGCTTTTTTTTTTCGTGTTCTTTGAGAATAAATAGTTCATTTGCTTTATCAATGAATTTCTGTGTATCATCCAAAATTACATCATATTCGCGTGATATCTTTTCAAGGATTTCATGGTTTTTCCGACCATTTGGTATGCATCTAAAATATCCATTGGTACCTGACATTTGTAGTTAGCTCGAAAGAGGAGTGGTGAAATTGAAGATTTTCCTAAACAAAATTGCAGTTATAATGGTCTCATACTTCAGAAAGCTGTCGAGAAGACATATTTCTTCATTCACTCACTATTTCTACCGGCCCCATCGGGCGATCGCCCGACCGCCCGGCCCCCCAGTCCGCCTGTCAGTCTCTGCCGTGCGCTTTCCTGATTATTCAAGTTATGTCCCAGCAAAAATCGAATCTTTGGCCGCCTTCTGGCCCAATGCATGATCAGTCGGCAGAGTGCTGGCAACGGCTGAGCTGCAACGGGCGAACGTCGGCCCATAGTATGGTATATATTGTAATCGTTTATCCATAATCCAGCCAGCACTGGACCAGTAGTATCAAATCGTGATGCCATTTCACTACGTCGTTCCAACATCGGCCCTTTGTATGGTATATTGAAATCATTTACTATAATCATAGATTAAACAAACAAGCTTTACCAGACTTCATCATAATATGATATTACCTATATATCAGACCTCTCCTGTGTAATTTCGATGAAAAAATATCTATTAATTCTCTATGATGAAAAAAATTAAAACGAAATATTGGGAAACACTCAATTAGTTATAGTACATAATATATATGATATACGATGATTGAAAATAAGGACATATTTTTCCTGCAAACTCTATGATTAATAATAGTTTTATAACGTAGATAGTAGGTGAATGAAGTATACCTGTTTGTTGAATGTTGACAAACGAATGAGTCTCCCGCGGCCCACTTTCAACACTGTTATATCTATAATAAAATAGGTAGGTATATATCTTCATCATCTTCTAGTGCTACCTATAAATAAAGTAATCCTTTCGACAGTGATGGAAATTAATAAACCTACCATCTAATGAAGTCATCATAATATTTCACTAAGAAATTCAATACAAACTCAGGTTAGTCACAGAAACTCTTCTACTTTATCGAAGAATTATTAGAAATTGTTGTCCTCTGTTATGATATGATTAATATTAGTATTCAATGATAGTAGTCATCCGTAGTCAGTAATTATCAAGAAGTGAAAATGGCTCAGATGGTAAGACGGCTTCGAAATCCAAAAAGGTCGCAGGTTCGAACGCGGCGACCGGTCACTTCTTTTTTAGGATTGACGGTATACAGTCATCGGTCCGGCCGTCGCCCAGAGTGACCTATTGACGTCTGGCCGACGTCATTTGCCGCTCTTTTGACGCGTTGGCGACTTCCGGCATCAAGCAGGTTTTGGGCCGACGTAATAACGACCGAAATTGTTTGCTGGGGTTCCTCCTGTAATCTTATCCCAAGAATGTCCCAGAGATTCTCAATGGGTTTAAAATCCGGGCTCCGAGCTGGCCATGCCATGGTAGCGATACATACTTCTATAGATAATTTCCCACAACTCGGGCAACGTGAGGCCTCTGGCATTATCCTTACACCACCTATATATGTGGTTCTAAAATCACCGATATGTACCTTTCAGCTGTGAGGCTTCCATTCATGATCACAATAAGTTCCATGCAACCACAAAGAAATGCCTTCCCAGATCATATATAGCTTGCTATACTTTCGTGCTGATAATGCCATTTGATTACAATAAAAACATGTTATGCTATAAAATTGTGTTCCTGGAGAACTAGGAAGATAAGAAAAAAGGAATGTAGAGAAAAGGTAAGGCTAAAGTGAACTTTCAACACGATAAGCTCGTAATAAGTGCTACAGGATATTTCATGTAATTTTATGAAAAAAACACGATATAATTGCTACACCCGGTATTCCTAAAAAAGAGGTTCTTATGCGAATATAGTTTGAACACCAATGTTCATAAGGAAATATAACCAGTCATTCAAAACAAAAAACGTCCAAATCGGACGTATCATCAGATAATTATTTTTATATCAATTACAACAATATAAGATGAGAATATAAAATTGAATAATACCTATATATATGTAATATATTTATGTGATGAAGTATTAAAGTATTGTCAATCTGGAAAAATTATAATTTTCAATTTGAAGGCATTTGACCTTGAACCAAAAAAATGTATAAAAACACTCAATTTGTCGCGAGGATAGTCAATCAGAATCAGAAATAAGCGGGAATAGGAAATACCTGATTCCTCAGGATTTTTTCATATTAGATTTATCAAATATTTATTCAATAGGCATGCATTGGATAGACGGAATTCACAAGATATCAATTTTAGAAGGTATTTTGTGTTTCCCGAAGCTATATCACTGATACTATTATCTATGTGGTTTCCTCTTTGCTACAGACTTTCTGAAAATCTACTGTTGATCATCATAACTCACTGGTGATATGACTGCAGACATGATAATACAAATAACTTTATTTGTTAGTTCAATAGTTTATTGTGCAAAATGTCAAGGTAAGCATTAAAAAACAAATTGTAGAATGTGACATCCAAGAAATAACCAACAAGTATTTATGTTTTGACATGATTGTACTTACTGCTGTTCTCAAATATTTATTCCATTTTTCAATTATCTTTAGAGATTCTATTTTTTGAAAAACAAAAAATGCATGGTACATATAGGTATTATATACGATACATATAATCTAAGAATCTGTGATCTGATTAAGGATTATAATTATGTAGGTACCACACCCTTTCACCTGGCGATTGTATATGAGTATACAGGGTGTCCGCTAAAAAGAGGTCAATCCATTAACCATATATTTCATTAACAAAAACAATATGAGCTTCTAAATACCATTTTTCATTATAGCCCTTCATATTCGATATACGTATATGGGTGTCAAAGTTGGAAATTAAAAACTGTTTATTTTTAATTACTCGCGTATTTAATAAGATATTAATCTCAAAATTGGTACATTACTTCAGCACAAAGAGTTACATCGTTTGAGGAAAACAAAACAGAAAATAACTGTCAAATATTCAAAATACTGGGGGTCAAGTAGACACTTACCCCCATATTTTTTTTGTACGTGCGCTAATGACTTCCTATCTATTTTTCTTCAAGTGTTCAATCATTTTTGAGTATTTTTTGTATCTTGTAAAATTTCGATAAAATTATTTGTTTTTAAGATAATTCGAAAAGTACTGGTAATTGTTTGATGCCTATGCGGCTTACGGTAATCTCATAATGTTCACATAGTCCTATTTATTTCGTCGAAATTGGAAGCGGGCGTAACTTTTTACTTACGAAAAGGTAAATATGGAAATACCGGGTGCTCAGAGCGGATGTACTAAAATAATTTTTACAAAAAAAAATTATAGAAATTCAACACGTCTAAAAAAAAGGTTGCTCGATATGACCTCCAATTTGAATACACATGCGACATGCGAGCCTTTTTAATTATTTTAATTGAAGAATTTCGGGAAAATAATGATTTTAGGAAGATGGAGGGGTCGATTTTGGGGGTTGCGGAATTTCTTAAAAATATTTTCGAGCCCTCTCTCGTATGGTATGTAGTGCGTGAACGAACGGGAAATAAAATCGGAAAAAAATAAAGAAATATTTTTGGAAATTTTAGGTGAAATTATGATATCCATGATTTAAATAGTTATATACTTGATGAAAGAAATAGCGAATCAGGATTATGAAAGATTTTGTGTATAAGCCACATATTTTTTATAGGCTAAGATTTTCTTTAATTGAAAGGGCTCGCATGTGTATTCAAAAAATTGGAGGTCATATCGAGCAATTCATTTAGACGTGTTGAATTTCTATCATTTTTTTTTTTTTTTGTAAAAATTATTTAATTACATTCGCTTTGAGCACCCGGTATTTCCATATTTACCTTTTCGTACGTAAAAAGTAACGCCCTCTTTCAATTTCGACGAAATAAATAGGAGTATGTGAACATTATGAGATTACCGTAAGCCGCATAGGCATCATCAAACAATAACCAGTACTTTTCGAATTATTTTGAAAACAAATAATTTTATAGAAATTTTACAAGAGACAAAAAATACCCAAAAATGATAAACACTTGAAGAAAAATAGATATGAAGTCATTAGCGCACGTACAAAAAAATATGGGGGTAAGTGTAAACTTGACCCCCAGTATTTTGAATATTTGACAGTTATTTTCTGTTTTGTTTTCCTCACACGATGTAATTCTTTGTGCTGAAGTAATGTACCAATTTTGAGATTAATATCTTATTAAATACGCGAGTAATTAAAAAAAACACAGTTTTTAATTTTCAAATTTGACACCCTGTATATCGAAGGGCTACAATGAAAAATGGTATTCAGAAACTAATATTGTTTTTGTTCAAGGAATATATAGTTAATGGATTGACCTCCTTTTAGCGGACACCCTGTATATATAATCTCGTGGTCATATATTTTGCTGATGTATTAATCATTCTAACAATAAGTGCGAACCAATAACTTAACGTTATTGCCTGCTCATATTTTTCTCTGAATTCAGAATCAAACCCAGGAGTGCCTATCCAACCTGGAAATTTACCAGTCAATAATTCATTACGGGCAGTACAACATCAAGTTGACAACACAAGGTTTATGCGAAAACCAGATTCAACCTCGTGGCCTGGAAACTACAATGAGGGTAACAATAACAGGCATATCTTCGCTGACTGGCTCTTGTATGGAAACTGGAGTACTAATCTGACGCCACCATCAGAAACCAGGAAAGTTGAGTATGAGGGGTACGATGGTTGGTACAACAACTTAGCTAGACCTGATTCTGGAGCCATTGGTGAGTATAATAATAAGCTACAAATTTATTAATAATAATAATAATAAGGTAAAATGTATCCAAAAATAATTGCAGTGTTTCGTGCCGCACCTTGCACTTACTTCAAAGGGAACTTCAAATTCGCCGACACCGCACGGTGCGGAATATTCTGCAATAATTGGTTTTGGATTTACCATACCTACTTTCATTGATCATGTGTCAATGTGTCCTTCAGCCAACAAATTCAAAGTATAATAATTATACCGTGTCACATGATGGAAATCAGGCGAATGGACATCACTCAAATACCTTTCAATTGTACAGTTTTTTTTTAAATTTTTCGGTCGATTTTAAGGTGTCAAAATCATCAAGAAATCCACGGTAATTTTCAAACGGCTAGAAATTTACCGCGAGTAAAAACTGACGTCAAGATTTAGTAGGTAGGGGCAGAGCACATACCACAGTTGCCATATGTTGAAATACGATTAGGAACTTCAGAAATATTATTTATTCAATAATCCATAAATTCTCAATTAAGTATTGGCAATATTCCTAATTAGCATTAAAAAATCAATTGTCTCCAAATGTTTCCTCATGTGTTGTGACTTATTGGTTATAAAACATTTGTGTAAATAATAATCATATTAATTCACACTAAAGGACATTCGAACCAGTGAACGCTCGGGTGAAGATGACAACAACGGCGCACAATGTTGCAAAGTCTTCAACATTTACATGATATTTTGTTATGGAGTATAAAAAATATTTGGACTTGCTGGTTGCTCGAAAATGTCAAGAATTAACTATAGTATCATGGGTTCCTCCTATTATGTTTCATTCAACGACAGGACTCTAACAACTTTGTGATAACATGATTATAATTGGTGACTTGGCAACCTTATCTGACCAATAACGAAACAGCCTGAAAACTGGCGTCACCATTTATTCGACGTATCGCCAAATGGCGGCCATGACGATACGTTTGAAATGAGCTTTGAATTTAAACAATTTCGACCAACGCATTAATTTGGGTCCCTAACGATATAGTGGAGTAATTGAATGCTAATGATTCATTATTAGCTCACTCGCCCATTGAAGAATATTTCAAAAACTATAATAAGATAATCACCAAATATCGAAAGGCAAATTTTTTCAATTGATTTACCTATTTTTTGGCCTTAGATAAGCCACTTTTGAGAAGATGGCCAGCTGCTTACAAGGATGGAACTTACATACCATCAGGATATGACAGGCCTAATCCACTGGAGCTGAGTGAAAAACTTCTGAGTGGCGAGATAGGCCAAAAATCTAAAATTGGGAGAACTGCCTTGTTTCTCTTCTTTGGTAAGCGATTCATTAGGAATATTACTCAGGATTACAAATTAATTATGATGACGATTATGAAATCTCTTTACTGAAATTTTTAACATCAATATAGGTACTTACCGGGTGAAAACAAAATTTAGACTTCACATTTGGATCGATATGGTTTCTTAAAACCCATATTGTCCAGAAACGAACGATTTAATGTCACTTCCGGTTCTACCGGAAATTGACCTAGGTCGGGATTCTCAAATATACCCTGTAGATATTTTCATGACATTCGAAATCCCTTATCAATGACATATCACAATAAGTGGTTACTTGTTTCTAAATGGCGGCTCAGGAGACATTTTTTCTAAAATAGAATAGAAGCAAGGGTTTAGCTTGCTGCAGAAGAAAAAAAGTATAAGTGTAACTCAATGAGAGTAGAGCTTTCCTAGTTAATAGTGGTTATAATGATATCATAATAATTCTTTGTACAATGAGTAATAGAAGAAAAAATACATTAGCTAAATATAAAGAAGGTACATACCATAATGGAAATACAGAGAAACCCATACAACAGAAAAAAAGGAGAAAAAAAAAACTATCCATTCCAGATGAATGTTTTCAACATACGAGGAAATGATTTTAACTTTCTGTAAATCTAAAGATTTGAAAAATTACATAAATCGTTCAGATTTCTCAGTGTTTTCATTACAGGTGGCCGGAAACATTCATATAAATAGGACAGAAAATAAAAATATGTGTTCCAATGTTTTTAAAACCTGCATATTGCAAAAAGTACAAAGTTCATCTTGTTTTATAACATACTGATAGCCCTTAATATAATATCTGATGCTCAATTTAGAACAGAGCCGTGTGGAGCCGATGGAATTTTCGTCAAGCAACCTCATTAGATAGCAAATAGACGAAACACTCTGATTAGTGTTTGATGAAACATGCGAAAATTTTGAATCATCGCCAATTAGGCTCCCTGTTAGTAATTTTTTCAAATGACATTCTTTCTGCTCTTGAAATTTCTCGAAAATTTCAAATAGGAAATTGTAATTTTTTCAAATCTACATCAAAGTATCAATTCACCCTTTCTCACAGACTATATATGAAATTGGCAAACCAGATAAGGTGACTATATTCAATAAAGTAACACATCAAATACTCAGACACAAAGTTTTATTGTTGCAACCTCCACAGGGCGGTTTCTCTAGTTTTAACAAAAATCAATTAAACTGAACTTGAAGAGTATAGTGTGTATATTTATCATTCATGATTTTTCTCTTGTTGGTCTTTGGTCTATGCATTTTCATAACGCAGTCTACAATTTTTGCGGCTCCCTCTGATTTTGTTTCTTTATGGTATAATTAACATTCATGAAATATGCATGAAACGTGAAGGTGAAATATATTTTTATATCACACCAATGTTTGTTTTCCTTCAGTACGCAACAGATTGTTCCATTAATTGAATATTATACCTATGAAATTGTTTTCATTTTAATGGAATATCATCTTATCATAAAAACATGAATTTCAATGCTACTTTTGAGGTTCACTTCTTTTTATTCATGGTTGAAAATTCGAATTTCTAATTATTTCTAAGAGTGGCTCACCCCTATAACTTTTTTGTTTCTGCAGATAAACAAAAGAAATTCGGTGTGTAAGTATAAATATGCATTATTTGACGTATTCAATTGTTTTCTGTCATTTCCGGTTTGGCCGGAAACGACCCTTATTTTACTATTTTGAATGGGACACCTGATAAATGTTTACTCATCTCGATAAATAATCACATTGTGAGTACAATGACACCCCATTTGCCCCTTCCAGACATTTTAATTAATAGTGTGTATTTTTTTTTCATTTCGACTAATTTAACATTTCACAATTCGTGATAACGAACTATGACAATAAAAAATAGTGATTCTTGATAATTTTTGCCAAAACCGAAATCTCAATATGGCTGCGCGCAAATTCCATAACAAAAATTGTTCAATATTACTTTTCAAAGCTTCCTTAATTTTTTTCATTATCACCGATGACGCTACATCACAATAAACCATTATAGCGTTTTGGCAGATAATGATACTATTGATACTGGATATTGATTCAGAATATTGATTATTTGGTATCAACGCGTTCATAAGAAAATATCCTTTCCAGATATGGTAAAGAGCCACCCTTGTTCCATTTGAAAAAATTGACTTAACATCATAATTACGATATTGTAAATTTTGAATGAACCTGATGTGAAACAAATGGAAAGTGAAACTTCATTGAAACAATTTTTCCTCGGCAACTTTTGATTCAAAATCAACTGTTTTAACTAATTCATGACACTCTAGATTGAAAATTGAAAATTTCAGGATGATAAGATTCTCTATCGAAATAAGTGAAAATATACCGGGGGTCCCATTTAAAATAAGAAAATAAAGGTAATTTTTGGTCAAACCGGAAGTGACAGAAATCAATTGAATACGTCAAATAATGCATATTTATGTACTATACTTACACACCGAATTTCATATGTTTATCTGTTGAAACAAAAACGTTATAGGGGTGAGCCACTGAAAAACACCCGGTGTATTCTTACATAAAAAAAGCAATAAATTTAGGTCAACAAGTCGTTGAGGAAATTTTGGATGCTCAGCGGCCAGCGTGTCCTCCAGAATATGTCAATATTCCTGTGCCTGAAAACCACACTTACAGGGTGGACAATCCTCATCATACAGAAATGCCTTTTCTTAGAACAAGATATGATATGAAGAGTGGGTCCAGCCCTAATAATCCGAGACAGCAGGTAAACCATAATACTCTGATGATAATAAAGAATGAGACAATATCCACTGGAACACATCCACATGTTATTTTGAAATAAATGTTCAAAAGATAACTGGTCGAAAAAAGTTCAGGCGATGATATTTGTTTGCTCCTGAATTTAATAATCATCTGATGAAGATCAGTTTTGACGTTGAGATTTATGGGCAATGTTATTGATTTTGTACCACTTTATATAGCTCTATATTTCTGTTTGACCGATTTCAATCACATCAGCATGGAAGGATCATAATTGATTTTCACTTCATAATTATCTATAGAAAAGTTCAAATTAGAGATGTCCAGTCATGATGAAGGGAGATGATGGGTATATATTGAACTTCTCTCGCGATACATACATTATCAACCAATATCGTCTCAAAATTGGAATCACTGCAGATCAAAGTCTCATATGATGTATGTATACAGATCTCGGAAAAAATTACCGGCGTATAGGATTTTCAATGAGTTTTGAAGTAATATATTTATTGTAGTTATAGTTGACCAGCACCAAATATAACAAAAATAAATATCCTCGCTAGTATTTCATTCTGAATGTGACAGCGCGTGGCTACGAAGTGGAAACAAATCAATGTGGAGTGGTCCAGTTGAATACTTGAGTATGCATGTTATATTTTGTGCTAGTCCCAAGTCTAAATGCCGGTAATTTTCTTCTGATCTGTATATCTGTAGATCTGTATATTCGTAATGAAGAATCATTTATAGCTTGTTCCTCAAAGAATACAATCAATCCTGTTTTTACAGTTGAACGAGATAACGCCATATATTGACGGTGGTCTTTTCTATGGCATTACCAAACAGTGGTCTGATCAGCTCAGAACTTTCTCGAATGGGTCAATAGACGAGTGTGGTCGGCTAGCTTTTTCTCATGATGGTCTTTTCCCGGAATATAACACTGCCAGGATTCCTATGGCTAATCCACCACCTCCTTTCTATCATTCACATTATGTCAACGTTCATGAAACTGCGAAAGTCGACAGGTTTTTCAGTAAGTATTAATCATAATTTGCTCCGACAAATATGCTTATTGCTAATTTGACAATATAAAAAGATGAATGATACTAACTAATACTCGTGATTGTCTCCATGACAATTCATGGTCCCATTTTCATTTATGAAGCATTCACTTACACATTTTTCTTGATGTAGCGGCTGAAGATAGGCATAACAGGGTGTGGACATGGAATATCACGAACTTTTTTCCGGTTGGCTGGATGTAGAAGCTTTGTACGCGTGATTTAAAAGAGTTATGCAGGGTGTTAAGAAAAAAGATTCGCATCAAAGTTATGTTTTTTTAATGGAACACCCTGTATTTCATTCCCTAATAACACAAAACCATCCAATAGATGGCCATTAGATAGACGTACATGGACATGCTGGATAATACATTAGAAGACTCAAAATATCAAGCTTCTTCTCAGTGTAAATACAGAGGCCACAAGTTTGGATGTCCATTCCCAGTTCATACAGATTGATCCCAGAGATACCAGAGGGCATCACATTCATGCTACACTTCGCATCCGTGACTCGAATTGAGAGTCTCATTGATATCACAATGACTGCTTTTCCGGACCCTTTTGGTCATTTTATGATTCACATCAATATGCCAAATGAAACTCGCAGTTATGTTTTAAGCGACTGTCCATCCAACATAAAAATTTATTAGTTCGGTTACCTTATCAGACAATAATGTGAGGTTACAGTGAGTCTCTTAGTTGTTAGGCAGCCTCGCAAATTCATATACGTTTCAAGTCTCACATCGAATGAGATGAGACGAAAATTGCGAATGTTTTGTAAAATAATGGGTCCTTTGGCAATGCCAATGATGTTTTCTTGTGATTCGCAATGTTACCTAACCTAGCAAGCCCTGAATGTGACATCCCAGGGATGTTTGTGTTTACTGGGTTGGATTGGATGTCATTCCTGTACATCTACTGTACATCGATTGTATAACTACTGGACATGAGTTGGACAACTACAGTGCATCTATTGTACAAACACTGTACATGAATTGTACATTTTATGTACCTATAAGTTTTGGACAATAGAAGTAAAACTCACCCCTATAGATTTTGAATATATTTTCTCTTCAATAATTTTTGAGTCTAAAGTAAAGCTGTTTTATACGACGCGTCTGAAGTGAATTTACAGTTGCAACTGTTGCGAATTTATGATTCCAACCTCAATGATTATTACCCTTGATTATATAAGTTGATTACTCAAAGTTATTACTGAAGATACGGAGGTGCAACCATAAAAAATGTGACACACTCAATATATTTTTGCGAAGATTCCTGACATTGTGGATGAAAAAAGAAGGGGTTACATATATATTTGAAATTGGAAGGCCTGGGATTATCCAACTGTGCCAAAATATACGGAGTGTTCCATAATAAAACATATAATTTGCTGCCGTATCTTTTTAATGTCACCCTGTATAAAATTTCTAATGAAGCCAATGGCTTGTTATCGTCATACTATATGGATATATACATTTGAATTTTTTCAATATTCCTCACCATCAAGTACTAAGAAAATAAAAACGAAAACGGCAATTTTTCAATGTCTCCCTGTATCTGTGAAACGAATCAAGATATCAAAATTACAATTGTGCCATTTTAAGTTTCTCTAAAATCGAACCCGTACCCGGTTTTTCGATATTTCCCTTAGTTATTGATAGCCCGTGAAATCGTCGAAAATTTTGCCCACCCTGTAAATGTTATCATTAGGAAAACGGGTGATTATAATTTTCTACCCTCACGACGCAATATTTTTCGAATAATACCTAATGTCGAAGATTCATCTTCCTCGATAGTACTACATAATTCATAATTAATGCAAATCAAAATGTAAAGGAGCTCTACTTTATATGTAATTTTTTTTTTTAATAAACCGAAAGAATTAATATTTTCATCACATGGACATCATCTTTCTGTTCTGTATTGAATAACCTCTATATCCTATTAGGCACCACACAACCTTCTTGGTCATTTAAAAATTTGAATTTATGGTTCTCGCATCATAGTCTTTCCAACTTTCAATTTTTCCTCTCGTTTGTCTAAAGAATCAGCCATCAATAAGTGTTGTTTTTTCAGAATTGGGAAATCCCAGAGGGAATGAGAACGCATTCCTCCTGACCTTTGGAGTTATGTGGTTCCGTTACCACAACTACATAGCGACCAGATTGTGTCATCACCATAGAACAAACAACAAAGATACAGATTGGTCGAGCGAAAAAATCTACAATGAAGCGAGAAAATGGGTGATAGCTACGCAACAGCGAGTAGTGGTGAAAGAATGGCTGCCCATTTTGTTGCAAGAAACCCTGCCACCATACAAGAAATATGACGCTAGTATTGATCCGCAGATAGATCAATTCTTTCAGTCAGCAGCTTTCAGGTTTGGACACACCCTGGTAGTTCCTGGTGTTTACCTGCGGAGCTATTTGAGAGACAGCTGCAAGACAAAGTTCAACTCCTGGAAAAACTTCGCAGTACGAACTTGCAATATCTTCTGGAGGCCACAAGAACCGATGTTGAATAAAACTGACGACAACAATTCTTTGTTGGACATAGACAGACTTTTGATGGGTATGTCAGTACAGTTGACTGAAAGAGAGGATCACGTGATTGTTGAAGACCTAAGGGGAAACGTTTTTGGGCCTTTGGAGTTTCCAAGGAGAGATTTGATGGCAGTGAATATTCAGAGAGGGAGAGATCACGGGTTGCCAGATTTCAATTCTGCAAGGAGAGCGTTTGGGTTGAAACCTTATGAAAATTTTGCGAATTTCAGTTATATAACAGAAGCTGTAAGTGTATCATGCAAACTTAAATCAATATTGAATTCATAATAAGTGAGAGGTGCAATCATCTATTCTAAATTAATTTAAATCTAGACTAGAACAGAACTAGAACGACTCTATAAATCCATTGACAAAATTGACGTATGGATTGGAGGCATTCTTGAAACTTTTGATGGCCCAGGAGAACTGTTTAAAACTATAATAAAGGATCAGTTCACAAGAATACGGGATGGAGATCGCTTTTGGTTTGAAAATAAAGAAAATGGGTGAGACAATCTTCAAAAGAAATTTATCATGTTAAATAATGTTGATAAAGTATCCCGATTACATCGAACTCACATGAATAACATTAATTCGAGATTTCAGGTTGTTTACAAATGATGAAATAAAAAGAATCAATGAGGTAAAGATCTATGATATAATAATGGCCGTAACTAAAATGGATGCCGACGATATTCCGAAAAATCCATTCAAGGCCCCACTTCTTGATAGTGATAGGCAATTGATACAGGTTTGCAAGCTAACCAACACTTCTCAATACTATCACTTAGAACAACTGAATCACACCCTATTGGCGGAAAATTGTACTAGACCTGGGTCCTATGATTATTTCAGAAACAGCGAGTTGTCCTATGTTCTGACTTTTATTTTCCTGGGAACTTGTATTGTAGGTAAGAATGTGCTTAAATTTAGTGTATGAGAGAGTGAATAAATTGAAAATGTGTTTCATATTATAGTGGAAAATCAATGAAAGATAAAAAATTTAAGTTGGAGATAAAAAATGGATATCAAATAGCTGAAATCGCAATATACTTTTCTACATATACTGAATAAAGTTATTCAAAATGCATAGTATATGTTGATATCTTCATATAATTTTGCATATCAAACACAATGATTGAAAGGTATAGTTAACATTTTGGTGTCGTGACCAGGATTGAACGATGTTTTTCTACCATTTGAATCGATATGAAAACAAAAAATATAAAAAATCGAACATCCATTTTATTTTTCGAAGGCTCATGTATTGCTGAATCCAATCCTGGGCTTAGTTAACACATTTTTTTCCTCCAACTTGTCACAAATTATTATAATGTTCCGCAAAATCCGGTACCATTGAATTTGTGCTGAAAATCTCTACCCAAATAATAAGCAATAATGCATATTGGGTGCCATTCTAAAAATGGGCAATTCTATTCTTTCACCAATCTATCCGTATATTGAATATATTTATGATACAAAAAGCGTTTTGAAAAATGAAATTGACGTTTTCAAGTTACTTATTTTACAAAATATTTTCGGTGTGGGAGATAATTTGAATTTGTTTCATACTTGAACTACGAATTGTGTATATTGCATAATATGACGTTTTGGCAGAAACGAAACAGTTAGTTATTTAGATACTCCTAGGTACTATTGGAGCTATGTTACTTATGATAAAATTGAAGGAATCCGAATCAATTACTAAAACCAGAAGAACAAATGAGACGAAAAGGAGAACACTACGAGAAAGTGACATGAAATGGCCACTTTTCATAGGTATGCCTAATTCTTCGCAAACAATTATTGTAATAAACCTCATATTTTACAGCCACTGAGTGGGTAGGACCTAAACAGGCCACAAGAAAAGTAGTTATAGCCTTCAAATCGGACATGAAACAACTGAGTGTATCTTGTTTTGATGACACCTTACTGAGAGCACTCGATTTTTCCGGAAATAAAATAACGCATATGAAGATTTATTACATCACAGACCAGTTGACTGTAATTTTGCATTCGCGCAACAACTATGATTTGGTAAAAAAGTTCACTGCCATATCAGGCCTGTGCTATTTCTTTACCTCGTAAATGTTCTAGGTGTTGCAATTTGAATCAGACTTCTTAAGGAATAATTTTTTGACCGAATTAGATGCTAGATTTGTCAAAACAGGAATAGTCCAAATACAAAACATCTCATTGAATTGGAATGCAGCTATGAAAGTAGTTATCACCAGTGATGACCGCCAAAAGACACTGGAAATGTTCTTCAGAGTAGTCTTTGCACAAGCTTTCAAAATCAGCCATTCCCACACAGAGATGCTGACGGTTGATGCTTATGTAGCCAAAAAAGTTGTCGATACAGAACTCACAATTACCGAGTTTGCTGATGCTCTGAGTATGACAGCAAAAAATGAATTCGTGAAACGAATGTTCATGTTAATTGACAAAGACAAAAACGGATTTATATCATTCAGGGAATTTGCTGATTTACTAGTAATTTTTGCTGATGGCACCGAAGAAGAAAAAGCCAAATTACTCTTCGATATGTACGATATAGATGGGGTTGGATATCTGAAACAGGAAGATTTTCACGTCATGATCAAGTAAATGCATATGATTGTACAAAACACAAAACTAAAATATAGGATGTTCATTTTAATTTCAGGCTTCGAAAATGTTATATATTTTGATTTTTTTTACCAGTATTCACTAAATCCTGAAATTTATCTTCTTTCAAGGTCATTTTTGGAAACTGTCGGTGGTAATATAGATGACAAAGATATATATGCGACTATAACTCTGATGTTGAGAAGTGCAGGCATTGAACACAAGAAAAACAATTTGACATTCGAAGATTTCAAAAGTATGATTGGGGATGATATCAAGAATCTTAATACGGCCAGACTCGGTATCAAGGGATTCGAACAACAAGGAAAATCGAGGGAATCGTATCTGGATCATGCAAGAGACACAATCGAAAATATTTATGAGTAAGGATAGTAATGAAATCGTTATAGTTATGGAATTTCATGGTTTTTTAGGAGCAAACAAGAAATCGAAGCACGTTTCAATCAGGGTACAAAAATTATTGATGCACACCAAGAAGAAGTTCTGAAAATTCAGTCTAGAGCAGTTCACAGACAGAATGCTGTTATCAGGTTTATAGAGATAAATTCAAAGGAAATATTTTGGTTCTCTCTATATACTTTGGTTTTGTTCGCGATTTTTCTGGAGAGAGCTTACTGTAAGTAAACATTCCTAGATATCTAACTAAAACTAGGCTAGATGAGAGCATGAATGGATAACTTTAAATAATTTTTGTGTAAGGGTGTTGGTTTGTATCCCTAACAAAACCGTTGAATATATTTCCGTCGGTTGCTTCTCCAATTTAAGTCATGATGATGACACTAAAACTTTCACGCACTATTCTGGGAAACATAAACTGCCTTTCTTTACAGATAATAGTGACATATCCTTTGGTGTGAATAAGAGCGATATATACAATATATGCTGAACCATACTACATGTAATTAATTAATCCGTAGATTATTCCGTTGAGAGAGAACATGGGGGTTTGAGGCAGATAGCTGGCTATGGGGTTACGGTGACAAGAGGGGCTGCGTCAGCGATGATGTTTACTTATTCATCTCTACTTGTAACGATGTGTAGAAACACAATAACCTTTTTGAGAGATACCGTACTGAACAACTATTTCCCGTTTGATGCGTCTGTGGAGTTTCACAAATATATTGCATGCTGGGCAGGAATATTCACAGGTTTGTCGAAACTTTCTAAAAATACTTATTCATGTAACAAGTGTGTAAAGTGGTACTTTTGAGTATGAGTTGAAAAAACACTTCACGCACGTGTTACATACAATATTTTTCCTACAACTATCAAAAAAGAGGACAACCTCATTCAAATTATGATGTGAATTACTAAATGATATTTCGCAATTATTATCAAGTACATTTACTCATTTCATGTCACTTTATTGATAACACCTGGTTTCTATGGACGAAAAAGACAAAGCCACCTTCGGCTAATTAATAATAATAATAATAGTTTGATTGCTTTGAAACAAAAAGTTACAGCAAGGGTTTGGTTGCATACATAGATTTTAGTTTACAGTGATCCTTAAAGCTATAAGTACCTATACTAATATCGACAGGAGACATAACTTAGTTTATCGTTATTCACTCAAAATAAATGATCGAAGTTTCAGAATATTATAAACGTAATTACAAATTGTACAAATGTTGTTTGGGTCAATTATGTATGAAATATTGTTGTAAGTGAACAGTAACAGAGACGAATTTGAGCAAGAGTGCCTGTGACTTAAATGGGTAACTTTAGCAGTAAATAGTTTTTTGGCTCTAATTTGAATAAATCGCGTATAGCGATGCTGATCAAATCATAAATGAGATGCTAGCATATTATTATCTAATACGCGAGGATATCATGGCACCTTCTTCCGCTTCCATCTCTATTTCAGTGGCACTCCATATGAAATACGAAGTCAGCCGCCTTGATTTGTTCGCTTGCTGCCTTACTGAATCCCGTAAAGGAGCCCAATGACTGTGTTGTTGGTGGGCTGTTTTGTTCATTTAACAAGCATGTTCGAACAAAAATGGCACAAAACCGAAGTGTATGGCGTGTGGCTAGCAAAAACGACCATTTTGCAGCCACACACTCCGGCTTTGAGTAATCGTTTGTAGCCTACCAACAACGCAGTGTATGGGCCCCTTTCACGCAACCATTCATTCCATCGCCTAGCAACAACCGTGTTCTTTTTTCACACTTTTCCGTAAAATAATAAAACAGTATTTTGATATTGAAAAATTGTACACTTTATGCACACAAAATATATTTAAAAAGTGCGTTTTTTTGACAGTAGGGAATGATTTGTATTGAACAGTGCTATGTTATTTTCAGTGTTGCATATCGTTGGACATGCCTTCAATTTCTATCATATATCAACACAAACATCAGATGACTTGACATGCTTATTCAGGAATTACTTTCACCCGTAAGTAACATACAATGAAGGTAGATTTTGATTTTTACTTGAAATCAATTGATAAATAGGAAAGGAAATTCGAAAATTTTTTGGGTATATCCTATGTGTAGCTTGTTTATTGAATTCGATTTTCAGTAAAAAAATGAGGAGACTATCAAGCATACAGAATACAGAAATTATGTTTCAGGACTCATGAGATTCCCAAGTTCCACTATTGGTGTTGGCAAACATTGACTGGGTTCACAGGAGTTGTTCTAACAGTAATTTTTGTAATAATGTACATATTCGCATTACCTATGATCAGACGAAAAATTTACAACTGGTTTTGGTATACGCATAGCCTCTACCCTCTGTTCTTCATTTTTTTCATATTACATGGAACAGGAAGACTCATTCAGGTATATAATCAAATATAATTCACAAAAATTACAATTGTTGTAACTCTCGTACTTTTAGCCACCATTCACTTACTATTTTTTTCTTGGACCTGTGATACTATTTACGTTTGACAATCTTGTTAGCACCAGCAGAAAGAAAATAGAAATTCCTGTAATTCAGGCTGAAGTTTTGCCATCAAGTGAGTTTCAAATAATAAAAAGCATTTATTCACAATCTCTATATACGTGTTGTTCTAGATGTGACGATGCTGGCATTCCGAAAACCAGAAAATTTTCAGTACAAATCTGGCCAATGGGTCAGACTGGCTTGTATGGAACTGAATAAACATGAGTTCCATCCTTTCACATTATCTTCTGCTCCTAATGAAGACAATCTAACGGTTCATATTAGAGCAGTCGGCCCATGGACCAACCTCATCAGAAGTTTGTATAATAGCAATTTGAGAGGCAATTCGAAATGGCCAAAAGTAAATTATTGTATATCTATTCTGATTACACCGATTTTCATACAGTTTATTATTCATCATAGTTTCCAGAGCTAATGGCCACGTTTATACCGTATGGATAGTTGGTATGCTCACCAAGCATATCTAACTAAATTCAAACCAAATACCTGAGTTAACGCATATTTACACCATGTATCTTCAGTTGACTAACGTAACCAACTTTGTTTTGATTTGATTATTTTTTTGAGGTTAGGTTGTGCAACTCCACTTCAATTCGTAAATTAAGAATAAAACCTTCTAGTATGATACGAAATTAGCTGACATTGCATAAAATATCATTATGAGAACTCATGAATTAACTGCCACTTGCACTCAAGTCAAGTCAAGGCTATACAAAAGTAGACTAAAATGTTTACACCTTCTTGGTCAGGTACGCAACAAATGCCGGTTCCAAACCAAGCTGGTAACTTTACCAAGTATACAGTTTATACCACACTGACCAAGGGTATTTAGTCAAAATATAGTCATTAGTCAGCTTACCAAGACACGGTATAAACGTGGCCAGTGTTTGGGGATTTTTAACGAACTGCCAGATTCTCATCATCATAAAACCAAAGAAGTAATCATCACAGATTGAGAAAACAAATAATATAAACAGGGTGTCTCTAAAAGATCTTTACAAAAACTTACCATGAAAGGTGTGATTTAATTGATGTTCATATGAACATATGCCCCAAATCTCTCAACTTTCGAGCTGTATAGGGGTTGAAATTGAAAGAAAAATTTGTTTTCTTCTCATAACTTCAATACTGTTCTAGATAGTCTCATTAAATTCGACATGCACCTACTGAGCACCAATAGACAATTTTTGATGCAGATTTTTAAATATTTGCTCCAGTGGCGTCCGTATGGGATGTATACTGTAGATTTTTCTAAAAACAATCATTTTTTGAAAACCCATTCATTTTGCATTTTTTCCGCTCCACGCACTGTTTTCGCGAAGTATAGTACGTATAGGCTTATTATTCAATCAATTATTGACTCTACTCAAGTAAAAAGTAGACAAAAAAATCTTACCTACAAACTAACACATGGTGCTTAGTAGGTGCATGTCAAATTTCATGAAAATATCTAAAACAGTATTGAGTCATGATAAGAAAACCATTTTTTTCTTAAAACTTCAACACCCTATAAGCTCGAGAGTTGAGAGGTTTAGGGCATATGAACTCTCCTTCTTAAAATGAGCTAAGGAACCATATCCTATATTTTTAGCTATCATGTAAATTGAATACACCCAGTATATTCCTCAGACCAAAACAATTAGATTAGAGCAAATTCACCCAAGTATAAAGGTAGTTAGTTTGGGCGCTAGATGGCTCTGAATAAGTTACGATTTCAAAATTGTTGTTGCTTCATTACTTTAAAACGGCTCATGACATTCTCAAATTTGGTATGTTGGCTTAGCTTTATTACAATGATGAAGATGGAAAGCCCTAATTTCGAGTGACAACGGAAAACGAAAAAACTCCACCGCCCCGTGTGAGAGTCGAACTCACAACCTCTGGGTTACATGCCCAATGCTCTGCCAATTTAAGGGGACATCCGTCGATCAATCGGCAGGGAGGTCGAGTTTTCATCACACACCAGGCGGCAGAATCCTTCCAATTCCCGAAGTCACTCGAAATCATGTACTATATGAAGCATCGCTGGCAGGATGGTACTATACAGTCTCCATATTTCCCCGTTCGTCCTCTGATATTGTCTTTTTTTGTATACGGAAATGTCCGAAGGCAATCAGACATAGGAGTCAGTCATAATTTTTGTCGGTTACTCAACCGGAAACATACATATAATGATGAAGACAGAGAGTCCTAATTTCGAGTGACGATGGAGAATGAAAAAACTCCACCGCCCCGTGTGAGAGTCGAACTCACAACCTCTGGGTTACATGCCCAATGCTCTGCCAATTGAGCCAACGGGTCGTCCGTCGATCAATCAGCAGGGAGGTCGAGTTCTTATCACACACCAGGCGGCAGAATCCTTCCAATCCCCGAAGTCACTCGAAATCATGCACTATACGAAACATCGCTGGCAGGATGGTACTATACAGTCTCCATATTTCCCCGTTCGTCCTCTGGCATTGTCTTTCCTCGTAAACGGAAATGTCCGAAGGCAATCATACATAAGAGTCAAGTTATAATGTTTGTCGGTTACTCAACCGAAAAGATACTTACATACAATAATGATAAAGATGGAAAGCCCTAATTTCGAGTGACAATGGAAAATGAAAAAACTCCACCGCCCCGTGTGAGATTCGAACTCACAACCTCTGGGTTACATGACCAACGGGTCGTCCGGTGTGTGATGAGAACTCGACCTCCCTGCCGATTGATCGACGGACGACCCGTTGGCTCAATTGGCAGAGCGTTGGGCATATAACCCAGAGGTTGTGAGTTCGACTCTCACACGTGGCGGTGGAGTTTTTTCGTTTTCCGTTGTCACTCGAAATTAGGGCTTTCCATCTTCATCATTATATGTATCTTTTCGGTTCAGTAACCGACAAAAGTTATGACTTGACTCCTATGTTAGCTTTATTATGCACTAAAACACATTTCATATCATAACTTGATTTATGCAGTAAATGAACATCTAAATCTGCTACGCCAATCGAAAGGAAGAGGTTTGAATATGAAATTTGGGTTGTGTATCTGGTTTACTACAGACAGGTACAATTGATAAAATTCGATTATATGTACTATATTCATGGTTTCGACAAAATTTGAATTCCAGTAATTTAATGAATTCGTCAACATTAAATCGATTAACTGATATAACATGAACATTGTTCAAAATGTTCATTTCCACGAATACAAAGATTAATACGAATAAAAAAATTGATGCAAGCAAACTCACCTCAGTACAAAGTTGCTCAGTCTGGGCATAGGACAGCTCTGGCTTACTCAAGTACAAAAAAACAACGAAAAATAGATGATAGCACATTTAAAATTTTTTGTCATTTAAATATTTGTATTCGTGAAAATGTTTACGAAATATCTGTTAATCGTTTTAATGTTGACTGATGCTCTAATAAGTCTAATTTACTGAAATTAAAATTTTCTGGAAACCATGAGAGTAATTCAATTTTATCAGGAGTACTTTTCTGGCAGTAAATAAGTAGCACAATCCAAATTTCATAATCAAACTTCTTCATTTCCATTGGTGTTGAAGTTTTAGATGTTTACTCACTGAAAAAAATCAAGTTCTATGATCTATCTATCAAGTCAATTATGATTATGGTATGTGTTTTATTGTCCAATGAAACTTTGCCAACGTACCAAATATGAGTGGAATTACATGAGCCGTTTCAAAGTTTTCCATAAAAACTCTTGTGTTAGAGAGAGACCGAGAATAGATTTTTAATAGGATTAAAAACACCTCTTTCGAATAAGGGCGATACACCGTTGATTTTAGGGCATTCAAAACTATTAAAATCCATGATGAAAAATACAATACAAATCTGATGGTGTAAGTCAAAGACGAAACGCCGGTTTGAAAATCTGATAACACCATCTTGTGAACAGAAAAAGTAGCAATGAGAATGTGTAATTTGTTTTGCGTCCATGATATACAGGGTATCCTATAAAAAAACACCTTAGTATTTTTGTACAATTTGTGATGTTCATTTTATGTGACAAAATCTGACGGTTAGGGAGAAACGATGCAACTATAACTTATGAAATTCTTGCTATTTCAATGAATATACAAGGGGTGTCAAAATATAGTAGAAATATTTTTAGCTATATTTGGATGGCCCGTATGGAGAAGGTCATCAAGATTGGAATACATACGATGTTGCGATTTTAATAGGCGGAGGAATTGGGGTGACCCCATTCGCAAGTATTCTGAAAGATATATCTTATAAAGCGAATAAAATAAGGACACACTGCCAAAAGGTAGGCAATAAGAAATACATGTAAGTATGAACATTGGACTGTAATATAATATTCTAGGTGTATTTCATATGGGTGTCTAGAACTCAAAAACAATTTGAATGGCTGATCGACATTATAAGGGATGTGGAAAATAAAGATGAAAAGCAATTTGTGAGCTGTCATATCTTCATCACACAATTTTACGAGAAATTCGATCTTAGGACAATCCTATTATACATTTGTGAAAGGCACTACCAAAGGGTATCACATAAGTCGTTGTTCACAAATCTTAGAGCCGTTACCCATTTTGGTAGACCAGCTTTCGCGCAGTTTTTCAAAACTGTACAAGTCATTCACCAATCGGTCGGTATTATTTGCCATAGTAACATGATTCGAAGTTAACAATTTGCTTTTTTTAGTCCAAGAGAATTGGTGTTTTCAGCTGTGGACCACCATCAATGACATCAGGAGTGGATACCGCGTGTAGTAAGATAAATAAGCAAAGTGAACAAAAATTCGAACACCATTTCAAAAATTTTTAATATACTTTTTATGTACTTATGTGCTTTATAAATACCTCAGGACTATAGACGATAGTAAAAGGGCAATGTTCACCTTCAATGGTATTGCTCTGCCACAGTCTATGATTTCATGTTCCTGAAAAAAATTAATGAATAAAGTTTTCAACTACAACATTTAGTTCTATTACCAATGGATGTTCATTATAACAACCCTTGAGTCTACGCCTTTCCAGATTATTCAGATTTCTTTTTTGACAAGGTAGTAATGTTGTATTGATAGTATCACTTTCGTATCTTGCTTGAACAGTTATTGCTACAGGATTTGTCGATATCACCACATTCTCATATTTGATTTTGGTATTGTTGATTGCAACCAAGATCAAATTAGTGTTTCGTATTCGCTTGACATAATAATTCCTGAAAATGAGTTAAGTGAAATACCGTGATAATGATAAAAATATTTAAATAATAAAATTTTAGGTTTGAAATCACTTTTTTAATACATGACAATCTATAAGTTTAATTTTTTACCTTCAGATTAAAGCCGCAGATTTCGAATTCAATTTTAAAGAAAGCCAATTTATCCACTAACCCCAAATAAGGATCTTAGATACATTTTTTCAATTTTCAGCATAAATATTGTCACTGTTATCACAATCTTATACAGGGTGTCCCATAAGTCGAGGATCAAAAGAAGTGGGGTGGTATATTTAAATTCTTCTATCCCTGTCACGGTGTTATGGGCCAAACTCCTCCGAAACGGCTCAACCGATTCGTATGAAAATTTTTGTACGTATGTATGAGATCGGCGGATCCAATATGGTAGACGAGTTTTGTAATCCGATTTTATTCGAAATTGGTATCCTGTGGGTTTTCGGATTCGGAGATTATGATTCATAGATCAAAATTTTAAAATTCAAGAAGGCAGATCCAATATGGCGGACAAGTATTATAATTATGGCCCGATTCAATTCAAAATTGCTTTTAGGTAGGTATTTTCGGAGTCGGAAATTATGATCCCGTCGCCTAAATTAGGAAATTTAAAATGGCGGATCCAATATGACAGACGACTTTTGTAATTATGATCCGATCCTATTGACAATTGGTATCTGGGGGTTTTCGGAGTTGGAAATTATGATTCTTCCGTCAAAATTTGAAAATTCAGAATGGCTGATCGAATATGGCGGACGAGTTTTTTTATTATAATCCGATTCCATTTAAAATTGGTATCTGGGGTTTTCGTTGTCGGAGATTATGATTCATTTGTCAAAATTGGAAAATTTAAGATGGCGGATCCAACAATTATAATCCGATCTATTCAAATAAATTTGTATCTGGGAATTTTCGGGGTTGGAGATTATGACTCCTTCATCATATTTAGGACATTCAAGATGGTGTTTTGAAAAACTACTGAAACACTCTTTATAATATTTGGCTTGGAAAACTAAAGAGATAGATTACCGAACTGAAAAACTGAAAAGTAGTAGAAAATAAATAGTAGTTTGGAAAACAAAGAAAACATGCTTTTATCGTTCGTCAAGCTGAAAAGAATTAGAAAATAAAATAATAAGTGTGTTGAATATTTAACTGAAAAAATATTCTGTAGAAATAATGTATAAGTAAAACAACGTTTACCGAGTCAGCTAGTCATTTCATGAATATACCACACATTAATTTCAATGTAATCTTCAGGAACGTACCTTTCATAAGGAATTTCCCCATAATAGGATCCCTTAATAAAAAGTTCTTGTTGAAGAACAAATAGATCTAGTTTTTTTTCACAAGCATAGTAGTCTTTTGACAATGGTATTTCCTCCATGGTCTCACCTGAAAGATGAAATTTCATGAGAATTCTACCTACTTAACTTTCAGTACATACCAGTGGAGTTTCCAGACATTATTCGAAGTAAAAATCCACTCATATCAGAAAGAATTTCTATTATGTTTGATACAACCCAATTGAAAGTACTTTTGATTGGCTGAAATCAAAATGGAATGACATCAAACAGAAAATATTTCATGAAACAAGAGGAAACTAGTTTTCAAATTCCAGGTGAGCTATATCAGAATAATGAAAATTACAAATATTTATAATTCTTATGTAGGGGAGAGATAAATTACGAAGAAATGTGATTATATTTCAATTGGGTTCTTCAGGAACCGGTATTTACAGACAAAAACAATCTTCTGATTGATACACCATTTTACTTAAGGCTTTTTGATTGAGAAATATTGCTAATATACCTAATACCCAGCCAACCATGAGATGTATAAGTGATGTATACGCCACATCACTTTGTGACATGCGATCGCATTTGAAGTCACAAACATGTTACCGATACAACGTGGCGATGTGAAAATGTCCGACTCAAGCAACATCACTGTGACGTCGTTCAGAAATGAAATGCGACATCACATGAAAAATCACTACCAGGTCACATACAAGTGTACATTTCATATTACAAATACATCACACTGCGACATCGATGATGTGGTCGCCGTACCTGTAATATTCGTGGGATATATAATAATAATATTAATTCAACTTTACGAAGAAAATGTTTATTTTCCGAAAGTAAAAACATATGATACAAAACTTATCATGACAATCACCCTAATTAGTAATCTTGAAGTAAAACATGACACATATATATAGCAATACAAATATACAATATTCATAAATGATACATATCAAATACACTTACATTATCTTTTGGGATCTTTCATCTACCTTGTTTTAGATTGCAATATTCCTATCTCAGAGATAATTACAATATTACCTATTGTGATTGAACTCACCGTCGTTCGTAAATGATTGTATACCTCCAATTTGAAGCTGCTATAATATGTGCTATAAATCATCTCAACAGAGATATCTCATGAGGATATCAATGTGAATTATTTAGTTAACGTCGAAGAGATGTAGTTTGAAGAAGTCGCTGCCACATTACATAGTTTCCTGGTTGCGATGTCACTTTGCGACGTTGATATCGAATCTACGTCGATAAGATGTGTTAACGAGATATTGCATTTATGCAAGGTTGTCTCATCACACAGATGTTGATGTCACACGATGGTTGGCTGGGTATAGGGAAGATACATTATATGACTTTAATTCACTTCATCATGATTGAGCACTATAAGTAAGACTTACTTTCATTATCAAATTGGATGTACTAGACGAATTTGAATTGACGACAACTTCACACAAGGCTTGATAATCATACAAAGTTATTTGTTTAAATAGTTTTTCTTCGACCATAGACTGAAATATGTCCCCTTCAGCTTCCCCAAAAAACCTTCCAGTATCAGTATTACTTGCAGAAACTATTATGTAGCCTGAACTATCCACCACATAACAGTCTAGGGAATCATTGCATCTACTACAATGTGAACATTGGTTCTGTGAACAAATTTTTTTCCCCTATAGAGTGGTCGTCTAATACTGAAGAGGATCACTGATATTCTGTTATAATTTCCTCAAATGGTTCTGACTTCAGTTTGTAACTAGCTGATTATGATTTATTGTCCAGGAATAAATATTCTCATACAAAAAGCGTGACAAAAATTGATAATGTAATATAAAACTTGAAGCTAAGGACATACAGGAGAGATACACATGATAACAGGATATTTCTGCCGTTGTGAATGGCATAATTCGACTTCTCAACTCACTATCGTGAAACATTTTTGGATTCCATGGGTTATATTGTTGAATGAGATTTTTATTAAAGATTAAATTTTGTTAAGAATGAATGATACTATTCTTAGTTAGTTTCCATAATTTCCGTAGTTTGAAGCCTATAAAACAGGTGTATTGTCTTGCAACACTCTTCATGTTCCTGGACTAGAAATTACATTTCAATAGGGCTGATTTTGGCATCATATCTCATAGACGGATACAATTTATTTTTCAACAATGCTCAAATTTTTTGATGGAATTATTTTATTTTATTTTCAACACATACTGAATCAGAGACCATCTGAGAATATCAAACCAAAAGCCACTTCATTCATCTACCGTTTTCTATATACTATCTTATAAACAGGGTGAGTCAGTTTTTTGTAGCATGACTCCAACAGCTTAAAGTTTCATCACAAGTAATAAATTACTTTTAGCGTTTATCTCAAAACCATACAGTTTTCCTCGCAGTTTTCGAAAAACATAATATGGAATGGCAAGGAATATCCAAATGAAATAGAGAATCTAAACTGAAATTGAAAGCAGAATCAGCATGCAAAAAAGTTCAAGATGGTTAAATTGTTCTTCAAGCTGTTGAAGTCCTGCTACAAAAAACTGACTCACCCTGTATTATGCAAGAGGTGATTCACTTACTGATAATTTATTGGTTATTTCTTTGAATCTAGTTTGAAGTTTTTTCTGGGAAAATTGATAGCCAACAACAGAACCAGGAGCTTCTTTACCTCCATCTGATGGAAAAATAGCATAACTTCCAGTAACCAATGGGTTTGCTCTATATGCTGAATCAAATGGTACTGAATAAACAAACGATTCACCATCGTACTGGTGCTGGAGTACCGCACTCTTATACCACTTCTCATTTATTGCTTTTGGATGTAGGTCCCCAAAAACCCTAAGGAATTTTCGACATAAAATATAAAATGTATTGTGCATAGTCTGGAATCACTCACTTTTTTATTTTGCTTTTATCGTCTCCTAGTTTTATATACTCCCATCTAGTTAAACCACTCATTGTTGCTACAAACCTTAAGGAGGCATCATAACGCTGAAAAAGCGGTAGTTCCCTAGGCTTGAATTTCCATGTTTCATTGAAAGATTCATGAGTATTCCTTGCATCGAAAATTAATCTCTGAACTAAATGCATATCACAGTAATAGTCATTCTGTTCTAATGACTTTTTTCCATGATTTTCATACTGACTCTTCCATTTGAAGTTTCTATTGTACATCATTTTCAGGAACTCGAGAAGTTCCGCTTCTGGAGTGTCGAATTCATGACCTTCTAAGTAGTGATACTTACAGTAAACCCTAAAATCATAATATGTTGTGAATTAATAGGAATAACAATATGAAATGAATTTGGCAGCCTACTTCAGTTAGACCATATATAAGCTGATTGTGATATTAGGTAAGAAATCGGTCCGGATCGAACTTCGTCTCTGTGATATTTACTATTATTTGACCTGAACATTATTGAGGAAGGAAATCGATTTATAGGTTTTTCTTTCTCAAACACATATTTTAATATGTTTCTTTGTCTTTCTTAAAAATGTTGGTTGTCGTTAGATTCTCACATGTGGAAATTGCATTGTAATATGAATTCAAATTAATTATAGGTGACTTAATTATTTTGGTGAATTCATGCACAACTTAGTCTGAACTTTGATAATGAGGTATACAGATATAAATTCTGAATTCACCAATCACCTTCTCTAATGGGCGTGTACACCTTAGTAGAACTTTTAACTCAAACCATGTTTATAATGATCCTTCTATACATAAATAATGATTGAAGACATAATTCGATCGAAAAATGAACTGGAATGTTTTATTTTTGGACATAAATAATAGTACCTTCTGAAAACGGACCCTCTTATGACGTAGAAACCTCGTCTCGCCATAGTTAAAAGAAAATACCAAACGCCCGACGGAGACTGAGGCAACTGATATATTAATTCTTTTTTCTACTCACATAACCAAAATGGCATTTAGCGTACGGATATGTACCACGCTAAATGATCGATTAATCACGGATTGTCGATCTGTGATTTATTCAAAATATTAAACACATTACCATGGCAACACGATTTCTTAAACACATTACCATGGCAACGCAGTTCATTAAACACAGCTTCAGTAATTTGAGACATGTCTGGCCTGTCAATTGTATTAAATGTCAACTGTTATTTTCAAATTTTGTATCAGAATTATTCAAACAATATTCGTTTGTATCAAAATTTTTCATTAAAAATATATGCGGAATGTAGACGAAAGTGAAATCGAAGAGAATGTTCTGGTGCTTGCATATCTCCAAGAAGTGTAAAAATGGAGCATCCATCTTTGAGAACAATTTATTTATTCTGCTCTAAGCATGACAATAAACGTGAAACAAAGGCTAGTAAGCAATGGACTGGACACATCTACAACCAATATCACTTATACGTGTCTCGCTGGTTGCATGCAGTATTATGTTCTCAATTCCCATTCCTTTCGAATTATTTTGTAGGTTAGCAGGAATTGCAGGTATGTTAATGTAATTTTCGGAGTTCGTAGAAAAATCATAGTATGTAACGCGTTTATAAACTCTTCTAGACACTCGTTTATTAAACACTCGCTCCGCTCTGCTCCGCTCGTGCTTAAAATACTCGTTACTAAAAGGACGTTTATAACACTTGTTACATAATATACTATCAACTGCGATCTCGCGCTAATTAACTCTGTCAGAAATCATGTATCATTCATCTCTGTCTGGAATAGTCTTGTTTCAGTATTAGGGTTTTGACGTCACATCATCGCCCCGTTTTCAGAGGTCCGAAAAATCGGGTATTTCAATAATTTTTTATAAAACGTAGAGAGCTCACAGCAAGAAACGGTTTGCGGTGGTGGGCTAGTTTGGGTGAGTCCTTTCGAATTATGAAATAAATTTTTTTTGTCATATAAGCCCATTCTCAACTTAGGACTAAGTCGTGCATTATCACCGTATGTGCAATGAAACACTAGTTAATAAAATTGAAAAATTAACTTGATAGTAAAAAATACCACTTCACGTCTTGAAAAGGAGTTGGTAATGGTGGGTTCTAGAGCTAGTGGTGAAATAAACAAACAACTCCTACCATTTTGGATGTATCTTCCAATTTCCAGTGAAAAACGAAGTCAAGATCTCTCCAGTGTGTTGGTTTCTCAAAATTTCATCTCCAACATCCAAACTATAATTGCCATATTTATGAGGTATAGCAATACCCACTGAAAATGGAGTATTTTCGATAGCAGTATAATAGTAATCATAAGTTGCTTCAAAAACTCTTTTCATATCATCGTAGTGGTAACATAACTTTATACCGAGCATACTGCCATCTTCACCATCTACTAATGCTTTTCTCAAATTTTCAACACTCTCAGTCAACTCTCTTGGTTCTTCATTGGATGAATGTTGTTCGACTTGACTCAAATCCACGCTGTTATAGTTGTCTTTAAGAACACCTTCAAACTTTTGAAATTACGAATACATGCAATGTCAAATACTAATGGATATATCGATACCAAGGAATAGTATTGAAAACTCACCACAGGTCTCAAATCTGGATGCATAAGCACATATCCATTGTTACTGACAATGAAAGCATAGCCGTTGACTCCAATCTAAACAAACAGTATTTTGTATTCTCGAATATAAAAATTATCTATTCCCTTACTTTATAAGGCACTGTTACTCTTTGAAATTCGTCTAAGGGCACATCTGTCCCTGCAACTCCAAGTAAGTATGCTGTTCTGGTATCGTTCATTTTATTGATTTTTGTGTCATAACAAGGTATTGCAACTGAGCTTAGTAGTCTGTATGGTTCATTTATTGTATTGTCGGTTTTATCATCATACTGAAAACAATAATTTTTTATTGACTCGGAAGTAGTATGTTCTCGATGGAAATCGATAGACACTGAAAAATGTTTCAGAAATGTTTCGTGTTTCCAAAAATTTTGTGCAAATAATTATCTAGTATTTATATAAGTTACTATAGAGTCAGTCAGTCGATGAAATGTCAACTTGAGATTTTGGTAACTATAGTAGGTAGATGAGGAACTTCGTGCGTATACCTATAGGAAAGAAAGGGAATGAAGGCATAAAATTCAAATGTACATAATTATGATAGGTACCTGTGACAGTGTAGTGTTCAATTCATATCATTATAATATTTGGTAGACTAAAACAAAATTAAGATTCAGTGTGAAGATATTCAACCTTTTTTTTATGTTCTGGTTTCCACAAAAAAGGATATTCTGTAATGTTCAGAGATAATAATGTAGGATAAAATGAGGGATGAAGCACTATTAGCCTGATAATGGTGTGCCACTATATTTTATGATTGTACACACTAGTCGAATTCACGCCATAATACAGAGTGGGCCTTTGAAAACGAAACAGAGGCTCTGTAGGTCGCCAAAACCGGATTATCAAAAAAAAACTGAAACAGGTCAACTACATTTTCGAGGGGGACATCTTTCTAAAATATTTTCAGCCCTGCGGCGTTGCCGCTTCTAACGAAAAGAAGCAACAACTTTGTTATTTCAAATGGAACACCTTGTATTTTATTGCATTTTTAGGTTCTCCCCGAAGAGCTGATTTCATCAATGCATCACACTTGGGGTCTAGCTGTAATGGTTTCAGGGATATAAAGTGTTCAAAATCGAGATTTTTCAACTTTAACATTTTTTTGTGTCGGAACTATTCATTATTGGTCAAAACGGCTCTCATGTCGCTATCTCAACTTGTGATTTACTATCTACTGACATTTATTTGAAACAAATACAGGGTGGTTCAAGATTCAAAATTCTGATCACCCTGTATCTGTTCCAATTGAATGTTAGTAGATAGTGAATTACAAGTTGAGATAGGGACATGGGAGTCGTTTTGACCAATAATGAATAGTTTCGACACAAAAAAATGTTAAAGTTCAAAAATCTAGATTTTGAACACTTTATATCCCTGAAACCATTACAGCTAGACCCCAAGTGTGATGCATTGATGAAATCAGCTCTTCGGGGAGAATCTAAAAATGCATTAAAATACAAGGTGTTCCATTTGAAATAACAAAGTTGTTGCTTCTTTTCGTTAGCAGCGGCAACGCCGCAGGGCTGAAAATATTGTAGTACGATGTCCCCCTCGAAAATGTAGTTGACGTGTTTCAGATTTTTTTCATAATCCGGTTTTGGCGACCTACAGAGCCTCTGTTTCGTTTTCAAAGGCCCACTCTGTATATATATTTTATTTTGATCATTTTCTGTATTAATAGTATTTGATACAGTAATTTATCCTCTAAAATCATCACAAATATTTTTTTGAAAAAAACGCTACCTCTCGATGACGTTATATATACGGATATATCTTATAGGCTCAACATCCAATGAAAATATTTCCACATTCTACATAGAAATGAGAATTCACTTCCACAGTATACTGAAATACTCATATACATATACATACATATATAAGTCGTATCGTATACAATACAGGCTGTCCCGAAATTACAGAAAGATTTCAACCACTGATTCCAGGAACAAAAACAGTAAAACATGTTCATATAAACATATGGGTCCAGAAATGGCCCCTGGGGTTTTATAGCCATCTAAAGGAGAGCCTGAGATGATGGTTTCATGTGAATATTTTCTAAACCTTCTATGATAAAATGACCAAATTTTGTACATGGTCCTAACTTTCTATGCCCGATTTGAAAATTTTGAGAGTTTTCCGAAATTTTGATCAGGGCGTGGGAATTTGGTGGGGCTATAGGGGCACTTTTCCTCCAAACTCTTTCGTTAATGGAATTTTCGGCATTTTGGGCAGGAAATATGAATATCTCAACATATTTACTTATAGAAGGCACTCCTGATTATTTTCGATAGCATTCGCAATTTTCGAGATGAATTCGTTTTTGAAATTCTGCTGCCAAATAAAAATACAAGGCTTCTTCTTGATAGGATACCAAATTTTCCCAAAAATTATGGTTTGATGCAAAATACCCCTCCTTTCAACATCAACTCTTGGTATTCGATTTGAAATATGGGGGTTATACAAAAAAATACGATACATTATGAAAATGTACTATTTTTATCACGCAGCAGACTTATGAAATCGATTCATCTCGAAAATGGCGAGTGCTATCGAAACTAAACAGGAGTACCATTTTTGGAAAAACTACGGAAAATTGTTTAAACAAAGAAGTTGGGGGAAGAGTGCCCCTGGCCCCACCGGGAACGTCTCGTTTCACCCAATTTTCGATTCGCCCAATTGTCGATTCACCCACCGTCTCAGAACATACCCGAAAGATGCGTTGTCAAATAATGCCACATTTCCTCGGATTCAATGAAACGGGAATTATCAACAATCATTTCACATTCAGATATGTCGTTGGGCCAACATTTCGTTTCACCCAATTTTCGATTCGCATAATTTTCGATTTGCCTATTTTTCGATTCACCCAATTTTCGATTCCCCCAATTTTCGATTCACCCAATTTTCGATGCACCCAACTTTTGATTCGGTCGAGTTAGGTAGGTTAGGTTAGGTAGTTTGGAAAAGGTAGTCTCTTTCCTTATGCAGAAAATGATATTTTCCTTATATATATTACGTCAAAATTTGTGTCGATCGAAATTTGGGTCAATCGAAATTTGGGTGAATCGAATTTGGGGCGAATCGAAAATTATTGGTTGAATCGAAAATTATTGGTTGAATCGAAAATTGGGTGAACCGAAAATTGAACGAATCGAAAATTGGGTGTATCGATAATTGAGCAAATCGAAATATGTAACATACATACATATTATGTATGATTCTTCATTTAGTTTTGGCAACAACGCATCGTTCGGGTATATTCGGAGATGGTATGGGCGAATCGAAAATTGGGCAAATCGGAAATTCGGTAAATCGAAAATTGGGCGAATCGAAAATTGGGCCAGTCGAAAATTGGGTGAATCGAAAATTGGGCCGCCCGCCCCACCTAATCTAAGATTCAAATTTTGACAGATTCTCAACATTTTTAAATTGGGCATAAAAAGTTAAACACATTGACAAGATTTGGTTATTTTATCACAGAGGGTTTCAAGAATTTTCACAAAAAAATCATCATCTTGGGCTCTCCTTTAGATAACTCCCTAGGGGGGCGTTTCTGCACCCATGTTTACATAGGTAAACTTTTTTTACTTTTTTCGTTTCATCTGTGGTCTCCAATCGTTGTGCCGCGTTTCTCATATTATGATTCATCTTGAATTTCAATAATAAGGTATTTAAAAAGTGAACAGAGCTATGGGTTGGTACTTGAAAATAATGAAATAAAATTTTTCACTGAAACAGGCCCATTCTTATTTTCTTGATTTGAATTTTTTCAACTTGTAGGTAGGTGAGGTCATCTTTTTAGTCATCGAAAGATTGTTTTTTTATTCCTGATACATGCATCTATATAATATTTTGAATCTATTGTTGTATGCACGATCATTAAAAATTCTGATCAATTTTTTCATCACTTTCTATGGGTCCTCAATGTGCTATTGTCAGAAGGACATATCAATATTTACATACTGTTAAATCCGCATATGCATGTGTCCAAGATACAGGATGATCAGTTGCTTGCAAAACTAAAGGTCGAGCTATAACACTGATGTACTGATATACAGAAGCCGTCACTTGTTCTAAACTCTGAACTGGTGTATAATAACCTTAAAATAATATGAAAATGTTGCTAATCATATAAAAACGTTTCGAAAAATACACACCTCTATTGGCACATGACATCCACTTGATTTCTTCAACATTTGTAGACTCCTTCCCCACAAGATAGGTGAATATTCGAACTGGTATATTAGAGCCGTTGTTCAGATAATTGTATTTCATTATAATATCACTCATATTGCCACTTACTCCATCTGTTATGACCATGATAGCCTGATTGCAATTACTACTATTTCCGCTACAACCTCTTGCAACTCTGTACTGAAAATCAAGTCATATATGTTCGGATTTTAAGACATGGTGTTAGGACTGGAATACCTTCTCAAGTAATTCGAAAGCTACTCCTAGTGCTTGACCAACATGAGTTTTCCCATCTGGTTTCAAATTATTTATAGCTTCCTTAAAAACAATAATGTTTTCTTCGGTAGCTTGTACTAACATATTCTCAAAACAAGGGATCGTGTAATTTGTTGTTGAAGAGTAGTTGAGAACATTCACATAATCGTTATTTGAGAATGTATCCAAAATTGAGAAAGCCGTCAGAGAACCAATGTGGTGACCCATTCCTAAAAAACAGCATACATTTTTCACACCAACCACTTAATTATAATATTCAATTTACCAGTCATTGAGCCAGAATTATCTATCAAAATCACAACATCTTTAGTGCATGTAGCAGCTTCTATAAACCAGGTTCTTATTCGGCAGTCAAATAATAACAATTCCTTGTTAGTTTTGGCCTTTTTTTCGGGCCACCGCCATGCTAAACAAATCATCAGAATATAATTCGTTCAATTTATTTACACAGGGTGAACGAGTAGGAACGTGTGAGTACACATGAATGTATTTTTTTTATCTCTTGGAGCGCACGAAAGGGAATTCCTATAATGTTCGGAAAACATCGTGCGTACCTAGGGAGGATGGGGAGAGAATTTTTGTGAAGCAGCTTTCGCGTATTGCTGATGAAAATACTGAGCATATAGATATACTTAGTGGACTTGGTGGGACTGGTGGTAGTAGAAATATTAAAAATTGAGCAAAACAATTTTTTTTCAAAGTGATTAGTTCAATTCAAATGCAATTCGCAATAATTAGAGATGGTGAACAATATACACTCTCATGATACCCGAAGACAAAAACACTTTTTACATTAGTAATGTAATAGCAAAAAAAACAGCCCACTGTACAAATGTATGAAACATTCAACAGTTCGCCACAGTATATTAGAGATATCCATAACTTTAACCAATTTAAAAATGAAATAAAAATGTATGTTCCATCAGAGGAAGATTTATAGTTTTTTTATGAGAAAGGGGTGAGTTTAAATTGTCAGAATGAAAACAAAAAATGTATTTTGGATAGTTATTATGCGTATTTAATTTTGAGGGTAATTTAGAAGTTCTAGTTTGGTTCTAGTATTGTTTTTCTTTTTGGAATTTGTTATTTGTGACTTTGAACTCGTCAGTTTGAATATGTATTTTTTTTATCTCAAGTGGGCCCTTCACGTGCAATTTTTTACAGATTCCTGGCGCGCACTCCAAGCGCGTCACTCTTGGAGCGAAATGCCATGCTAAACTACACGCACGTTCCATTTCCTTTCGCTGTTTGGCGATTTCACAAAGGTTTCGCTTGTTTCGCGATGTGTTCATTGCATTTAAAGACAAAAATTGTATGTTTGATACTATTAGATCATGAAAATGAACAGCCAGCAGAAAGAAGAAAAAGTATTGGTCCCGAAAATGGTACTTGCGCCGGAGTGAATCGAACCGTCTTAATCACTTGAAAGAAATCAACGAATGTAATCCAGAAGACTATAGGAATTATTTTCGAATGGACAATGATATGTTCAATTATTCGATGAATTTGGTGAAAAGTGGTATACAAGGTACAAGAACAAAATTCAGTGATGCGTCAGGCAATTGCACCAGAAGCAAGATTGACTTTGACGTTACGTTACTTAGCTACAGGAAACTGGTTTGAATATTTGAAGTATTCAACAATTGGCTGTGACGTTACGTTACTTAGCTACAGGAAACTCGTTTGGATATTTGAAGTTTTCAACACGTATTTTAAAACTTCACGTTTGATTTTGGAGTGGATCAATGGAGCGTCACTCCGGGAGTCACGAAAAACTGCACGTGAAGCGGGCACATTATTCCGAGACGAGCACTTGGCTGATTAGGAAACAACTTTTGTTCAAATGATTGTAATTTTCATTGTATTGTTTAAATAAAATGTATTTAAAAAAAAATTGCTATCAGACGATACTCCGTTTACCACCACATGGAGCGATCTGCCTGAGAGAAAACTTGATAAAAGATGACATATATATAGCTGATGAAGTGGTTAGCCATATGATGGTAATTTGTGGAGGAGTCCTTACTGCCAATACTGCCAAACACGGTCGACTTAATAGGACTTAATGTGACCCAAAAATTCAAAAAATTTCAATTTCATTGTAAAATTATAAATCGAGCATTTTATAAAAGGCGTCTGATAAAAAACGACCCCATACGCAGAAATCAGTGCACCTTCTCATTCACTGATTTTAATGAACAAAAAAGTAAACAGAACCAACTTGTTTGATACTATGAAAAATTGTTCATTTAATCCTGTGTGGTCTCAGGAACATCAGTAAATCATCAAAATATCTTCAATTTTTGTTTGTGGTTTTCTATCAAATTCAAGGTAACCACATTTTGAAACCATGTCCATATAAATTTGTAAACCTATCTTATTTAACTGAAGAAAACTACTTACCTGGATAATGTCTCATGATTCCTGTTGCACTCCCAAAATACTGCCAGGACAATGCTGGGTCCAAACGATAATTTTCCTTGAAAGTGGCATCTAGAGATTCTGACCACTGAATTGCAGAAGCTGCAGGTACTTCTATGAATGTTAAACAATCTGGTAGTTACTCAGTAAATTATAAAATTAGTTATACATACCTAGATCATAAACGTTTATTGGAACATGTACTGAGCTATAATTTGTGTTGACTGCAAGATTATAGAAATGTGTATCATTGTTGACAGTCATATTTTTGTACATATAACTGTTGTTTTGTAATTTCCCTGGTAAATCTATCTTCTCATCTTGTATAGGTGAATATTTGGAGCTGTAGTAGCTATAATTACTTGAAATATCCACAACTGGATGTTCAGCATATTTTTCAGCTTTCTTCTGAATGCTCTGTGATAAATGAGAGACATTGAATTCAGAATAATAATCTTCATAAACTGTGTACTTCACCTGAATAGCATTTATTTTCGCGTTTATCATAATAGACATGTTTGCTTTGATTTCAGCTAGTAACGCTTCTGGATCTTTCTTCTGTATTTTAGCATTTAGAAACGTATATTTCTGCAAAGAATCATTTCCGGCATGTTTGACTAATAAACCCACTTTAACTCACATGTTTTATTTCTGAAAATCTAGTAATGGCTTGCCCCAAAGTCCATAGGTCTTTTCCTAGTGCTTCTGCCCATTGAGAAACTCTAAATCACATGAGGTCAACTTCATGAACAAAATAACATTCACACCAAAAAGACGTTTACTTACTCTTCACCCTGTAGAGAGCTGCGTATTTCAATAGGAAAACTCATAAAAAGAACACCAGCAGAAAATATGTTCCAAATAACAAGTCCCTTCAACGTAAACATGATTTAGTGATAGCTGTAGAGAGCACCATCCTAATTCTAAGCACAGTTAAATCTGGCGAAGGTGATCAAAAATACACTGATCTATTTTTGGATACATGCAGACTAGTAGCAGAATTCTCTGAGTAATTCGGGTATTAATTATAACTTTTTGTATATTCAATATGTACATAATTTATACATTAGTCCACATGATGTATAGAAAACAAAGATATATCAGATAGGTATATAGGGTATAGGTAGCTATACCAGTTCTAATTTGAGAAACCTCTCATGAATGAGAAGAGGTTGTGTTGAAAAAAAAACTTCCATTCCTTTTTGTATGATTCATCTGAAAAACATTCTGGATTCTTCAAATTCAAAAATTTTAAAAAAGATGCCTTCTCGAAAATATAAGTAGGTATAGATGAAGGAAATTCTCAAAAAAAAAATCATAAATGATCAAATCTGCATAAGGGTGTTTCATTTCTAATGATGATAATAATGTATTTTTCTAGTACCTACGAATTCTACAGGGTGTTTGGTTCACGCTGACGTGAATATATACTATTGAAAAAAAGTGCAAATGATTTCAATATATCATTATTCAGAATTCCACCGGATTTGGTAATAGGTCCATATAAGTTTTTATAAAAATTATGTTGAAGCTCTTATTAATTTTTACGAAGCCCTGGAAGGGACATAATCTCTGGGACACATAAAATAAATAAAAAATTTAACTCTTCAAAATTCTGAGTTATAACTCGGAATTTTAAAATTCCGACTTATATCTCGGAATTTTACATTCAAAATTCCGAGTTATTATAACTCGGAATTTCAAAATTCTGAGTTATAACTCGGAATATTGGATGTAAAATTCCGAGTTATAACTCAGAATTTTAAAATTCTGAGTTATAACTCGGAATTTTGAATGTAAAATTCCGAGATATAAGTCGAAATTTGGAAATTCCGAGTTATAACTCAGAATTTAGAAGAGTTTTATTTTTTTTATTTCATGTGTCCCTTCCAGGGCTTTGTAGATTTTATCTTTCTCTTCCATAATGTTGAATGTATTTCACAAAACACGTACATGGGATTCAAATGTGGCTTCAGTAGAATTCACAGAAACTAATTTTTGTAATATCCAACTTCTTTCATCAGCAAAAAATGAAACACCTTTAATAACAGTACCTATATGTGGTTGCATATGTTCAAAATCATCTTACCTATCACCTCCTTTGTCAGTGAACAAAACACCATGTGTAAAATAAATAATTTTGGTTTAATCTCTACCATCAGATTGATAACTTACATCAAACCTCAGAATTGTCTCTACAAAAATTTTGAAGAATGTCTGAGCCCTAAATGTAATGAAATAATTCTGTATAATATCAATATAGGTCATTCTGCAATGGAATTGAAAATGATTACTTGCTTCTACATCAGTATCAACTTTAGAATAATTGTAAGGTAGGTTACATTATACAATTCTGAAATTTGCAAAACACACAATGTCTCAAAATATACATTCATAATTTGTAATTGAAATTTAAGAAATGGATTCATGTGGTCCACTGATTGGAATTGGTTGTTTTTTAGCTAGTGGATTCATGGTGATTTCCAATTATGGACCCAAGAAATGATCTATAATAAATAAGGAGGTAGCTGATACTAAAGTTTAAATTTATTTAAATAAATAGTTCCTTCATGAAGAAACATTTTCTTCAATTCTCCCTCAAAAGTATGGAGAAAATAATGTTACTGTAACAAAAACAAATGATATCATGACTCATCTTCCACACTGGCTTCTAAGGTTTCCTTTGAAGGTTTTGTGAGGACCTTATCAATCAATCCAAACAGTTTTGCTTCTTCAGGGTTCATGAAATTATCTCTCTCAATATTTTTTTCTATCATAGCCAATTCCTGTCCAGTATGTTTAACATACAGTTGATTAATTTGTCTCTTCAATTTCATTATTTCCTCTGCTTGAATCTGAATGTCAGTAGCTTGGCCCTATCAACAGAACAACTATATTAATTTAAAATACCCATAGATATATGAACATATATTACATTGTATTATAATAACTCTATACTGAAAAATTATGTACATGACAAGATCCTTTATTATTAAATGGAGTGAATAGGGACTTTCTATACATTTTTGTATACTTCCTGTCCTCCTGAAGGTCCTGAGAACAATTCTCCTAAATTATAAAAATAATGGAATTCTGCTGCTTTTATCAAGGCTTTTATAGTTGTTGAAGAATATAATATCTCTTGTTCATTGTTCTTTGAACTTCAATGAGATCATTCAAGGGATAAACATACCTGGACTCCCCCTGAAGGTTGATGAATCATTATTCGAGCATTTGGCAATGAATTCCTCATCCCTGGGGATCCAGCAGCTAACAAAAGTGATGCCATACTACATGCTTGTCCAACACACCTTAAAAATGTTGTATTGAACCATCTTATATGTGTTTCTTTTTTAATAGGTGACAACTCATTCTAACCATGTTGCTATTGGAGGCAGTATATATTGCATAGTATCATATATTCCTAAACCAGCAGTAACACTTCCTCCAGGTGAGTTGATATAGAGATGAATAGGTTTATTTGATGATTCTGATTGCAGGAACAACAACTGAGCAACTATTACTGAACTCAGAGAATCATTTATTGGTCCCATCAGACATATTATTCGTTCTTTAAGAAGTCTAGAATAAATATCATAGGACCGTTCACCACGTCCAGTTTGTTCCACAACAATTGGAATTAATCCTATATTTCTAACAAGGATCTTGGGTGGTTTAAGATTTGCAGATTTTCTCTGAAATTAATAGGATTAAAGACGGTTTACAGATTATAAAATGAGGCTCACCAGAAAATCATTGAATAATTTTATTGTCAACATTTTCTACTTCAAAAAAAGACCAAAGACCAAATCACGAAAATTCAGAAAAATAAGGTTATCTACTTTCTTTCTCTTTTCCAATGTTACCTGTTATCATATATCTACTACTCTATATATGAAGCATAGCTGTCCTCAAAGCAGTACCAACTTCTACCAATAGGCGTTGATGCCGACGTAGGAAAAAAATAATACAAAACTTGTTATACCATCTTGCGCATGAATCGAAGTAACCATCAAACTGTTGCAAAATTCCGCTGGAATGTTGATGGACATCCATCAAACTGTTGTAATAAAATGCGCACTTTTAAATCGCATTTCGAGAATCCAGCAGTTTGGAGGAGATTGACATGACAGTTGACACATTTTAGTGTTGTTTTTTGTTTTGATTTGATAGAAAACAATTAATATTGAGGATTTTTGAGATTCTTGAGAGATTTTAGAAGGAAGAGTCACTGTTAATCAATAAAGTCGAATTAGCCTTTTCTGATTCTCAAGATACATGATGACTGGGACACAACAAAATCCGTGTTTCCATCAATGTGTTGTATAAACCATTGTTCAATCCTTCCAGCACAAATTCCACCAGAACAATTGGTGACGTCACGACAAAAAACCGCATCTATCAGTGCGCACTTTCTTCGATGGAATGAAAAACACGCCCGAACTTATGGCTTCAATCATTGGGGATAACTTATTCCCTCAATCTCATGTATAATATGTAGTCAGCACTTTATACAAAATTTCCTGTTCCTCAAAGTTACTGACATTATGCTTTGCCAAATTTTTCCACATTATAAAGGAATGAATCGAAGTTGGCGGTATTATATTGTTGTATTATCAACAATTTGATGATTTTTAATAATTTATTATGATCAAATAATTATTTACGAACCTAGTAACCTAACTCAAAATCCTCACGTCAGCAGTTTCCATCCTTCACTTTCCTCATAGATCCAAAAAGTACCTCTCATATTGGTCCCATTTTTGTTGAGATATCGTATAGGCGATGCGCCATGTATAGAAAAGAAATAGTAGATATATGCCTGTAATGGTATGATTAGTATATTCAGTGTTGCCAGCTGTTGAACATGAAATGAAGCAAAAGCCCGCCGTAGGCGAAATTTTTGAAAGTTTAGCTACTTTTTTTCGTGAAATCAATCAAAGAAAAAATCGCAAAAAAGTTGATGTACAGAATGAAAAAAAACAAACAAAATGAATATGAGTAAATTCTCCTAAATTGGTGAATCACAACATAACATTTTTCGATAATATTTGAGGTTGGTACTTAATCTTATCAAACATTGATGAACCTGTCGAACCATAATAATGTATCAATTCATATTTCTAGTTCAACATAATTCAGATTTGCGACTTCATCGCTATAAGTCACATTGGTTCCTATAAGTTTCAATACTGATTTAGGCAAAATAAAATGTTCACAAGCAACACAAGTTTTTTAACCATATCGAATATTCAAATTATCATTGAAAAGTGGCAGAAGTGGTGCAAATGATGAAAACTAACACTGTCGTCTGTCATTCTCTTCTCTGATGCTTATCTCTTTGTCTCGAATGTTTCAATGCGGAATCATTCATAATCGTCGTCTCCAATTCATAAAATCAAAATATCTCCATATAAACCGCTATGACTATGTTGAAAACGCTAGAATTCCGACACGTCGCAAATCAGGTTGAAATGTCGCATTCAACTACCCTAAAAACTCTAGATTTAGCGACAAAACCGCTAAGATGGCAACCCTGGATATGTCGCGAAAATTCAGGAGGAAAGCCCCTATTGGCCCTATTTCTAGAGATTGTTCGCCAAAGTGACAGAGGGCGCAGCTCAACAAAAATTTCTACAATTATATTGGATTATTTTTTCAACATATTGGATTCTTTTCCATGATGTTGGATTTTTTTCAATATATTGTATTTTATTTCCAATATGTTGGAAAAAAGAGTTAATTTTGATTGTTTGAACACTAGACGCTTTCGTACTTTATAGCTCTCGACTACTCGACTCTTCTGCAATTTTTTTAAATATTTTTCTTATCTAATGTGAATTGAACATTTCGCTTCTGACTGTACATGCTTTGTAGGGGATTTTCTGCCTGTAAGTTGTCGCTGCCGATTCTGATTACATTCCTGTCTACTTCTATTGCGCTATTTGGTTGGGTTTCGTTCCATGTTCCATGATCTATGTTCTATGTGATTCTATGTTCTATCTTCCTTCTTCGTCTGTCTCATTTTTTGTAACCCGATTGTCGCGCTGTGAGGGTGAAGATTTTTGCTAGTTCTAGTGAAAGTTTTATTTTTGGAGACCAAAATTGTAAGTAATTCTTCATAGTGGTGTTTTTCTGTGAAATATTCGTCAATAGGTTTTGAATACATGTAGTGGTGTTGGTATTATCAAGATTGAGCACGTTGAGATTCTGGTAAGCCGCCATGATTAAAGTCCGTGCATGACGGTTTGTAAACCTCACATCGATCGTCTGTAGTTGTCGTGATCAGTGATCTAGTCCTTACGCCTTGTTCATGCTGGTTTGCACAGCGTCGGCTGCCACACAAATTAAGTAATTTATTGAAATCAAATTGTAAGTTATTCGTATTTGTATGTAACCCTTCAGTTTTAGTAGATAATTGTTTTTATCTTTAAAAACTCCCTTTTTGTGATAAGGCGGTTTCATAGCTTCTGCTCGCACTGAAGTAGGTAGTGACCTTCAACTGCCAACCTCTTTCGAATTCGTTTGATAAAAGCCGTTAACACTGTTAATTGAGTATTGGTACTGGCTTTTGGGATTATGTTTCTCTACGTGGTAATAGCATGACGTCGGAGTTATTAAGAATTTTGTAACTTTTGTGATTTATCTACTTTTTATCTGCATACACTACACTTCCCATCAACACTTGCTTCATGTCCCCACAACCATTAAATTGGCGAATGGGCAGTTTAGAGTAATTTGATAATGTTCTCAAATAATCAATATTGCATCCCGGATAGTGTGAGCAAATAGTTTTTGAAAATAACTTGGTATACTACGCATTATTTTAAAAGGTGTGGCTGACGCCATATTGTCAATCCGTCGCCGGTGCCTTGGTGAGTGGTCGCAGTATCTTTTATCTTTGTCCGCGTCGACTGTTTGCTAGCGCTCTGCCGCCCTGCCGGTGTGGTGGTCTCATTTCACAGTTATAAGGGGTGGAAGTACCTACCTTGTTTTTTGCCATATTCTGTTCCAAGGTAAATCTGATATCTATTTATAGCTTATTGGGAAAGCCCTTGTAAAGCCCAACTACTAAGTATGAATAAAACATAATATCCATAAGTGAATTTGATGGAGATTCATAATTCTTATTAGGTAATAACTTTCAGATTTCTGGGGGCAAGGATGTGGCCACAAATTGCATTATATTCTAGGAAGTGATTATAGATACTGATATTCCATGCTGATATTTCATGTCTCATATATTTTGTAGTATCTTACCATTATTGATTTTTCTTCAATTTTGCGTTCTCCAATGAAGACATGGATTTTTCTTAATTACATTGAAAGTTAATTTCCTTATCAAGCTCTATTGTTCAATTTCAGATTTAGTATAAGATCAAAATGTCTGCCCCTGATAAAGATGAATTAGTTCAAAGAGCCAAGCTCGCTGAACAAGCAGAACGCTATGATGACATGGCCTCAGCAATGAAATCCGTCACGGAAACGGGAGTAGAACTCAGCAATGAGGAAAGAAACCTTCTGTCTGTTGCTTACAAAAATGTTGTTGGTGCCAGGCGATCTTCCTGGAGGGTAATTTCTTCAATTGAACAAAAGACTGAAGGTTCAGAAAGGAAACAGCAGATGGCCAAAGAGTACAGGGAAAAGGTTGAGAAAGAACTCAGAGAAATATGTGATGATGTTCTTGTAAGTTTCCATAACATTATAATAATTGTTCAGTACAGTTTTCATTGATGAGTCATTGGCATTTATCACCTATGCATGATGTTTCAAATAACTTTCGTTCTTCTGAGATACTTTGGAGAGAATTTTATCTATCTGATTCAACTTACACACTTGATGAGTAATTCAGGGTGTGAATCATAGGTAGTAATCTGATATCATTGTTTTAGGGACTTCTGGATAAATACCTGATCCCAAAAGCTAGCAATGCAGAGTCTAAAGTATTTTACCTAAAAATGAAAGGAGATTACTACAGGTACCTTGCAGAAGTTGCCACAGGAGATACAAGAAACAGTAAGTGTCTAGATATAAGTTCTTTGAAATATTGCACAGGTCATTCAGGCCCTGTGATGCAAATACAATAATCAAACTTCATCTGTTTCTGAATAAGGGTTGCATGTTTTTTTGAGATTATACCTAAACTTTGGCAAAAAAATGCAACCATGTTAATAATATTCATATACATATATTTATATAAAAGGTGTTTCAAAACTCAGTATCAAGATACCAGTGGCTTATTTTTCAGAGCAAAATGAGACTTTTTTCCTATTAGCATGTGCAAATGCTTCATTGCAGATCTATAGAGCAACATATTTTCAAGATTTTTTCTTTTTTTCTTTATAGCCTCATTTTCAAGATATTCAGATCCACTTGATATACATTATGTTTCAAGGTTCACATCATACAGTATGCCCAGTGATTGTAAGAATGTACAAGGAGATTTTTTGAGGGATCTGGCATTTTTTCACTGCAGATACTTTTTTGTGGTGCGCCAATGGTAGATTTTGAAATAGGAAATGAGTTATTTGTTTGGTTTTTGAAATTTTTTATCTCTGGTAATTTTCATGGATCTGGGACTATTATCAATAAATAAAAACATTTTTTATAGTTCACTAGCTTTAATTGACATTTCTAACAAAAGGAAGGAACCTTTCATCTCAATGAAAACAAGACACTACATATTCAGTTTGTAATCTTAATTACAAGATTCCAAACATGACCTAAAGAATAAGAATCCCACACATTTTGACTTGATAAAAGGTTCTGGAAAATGAAAAATTCTTGAAACTTCAAGGCTTTGTGGATTGGTAATTGCGGACACATAATTATAGGCAAAAGGCCTTATTTTGACCTGAACAATAGGGCTCTGAAATCTTGATACTAAATTTTGAAATGCCCTGTATCCATGTACAGAGTGGCCCATTTGAAAACAGACCACCCTCATACATTTTTTATTTCTGAAGCGATTTTCAAGAATCATTTCTTGAAATGTAGAGGAATGAAAGGTATATCATGGAGCTAAGCAGTGTCCACTTTTTTCAAAAACTGAAAACAGATCCCATCCAGAGGCTGACTAATCCAGAATCAATATTAGCGATTTTTTAGAAAAAAAAAAACGCGTACACCACTGGAATCGACATCTGAAATAGAACTGTACCAAGTTTCAGGAGAAAATATTCAGCAATAACGAATCTACTATGTGTTACTTTTCAAACGCCCTTCCCCTTTATTATCTCAGTTATCAGTCATGCAATACTAAATTTGGAGCTGTGTGAATAACCATCAATATGATAAGTTTTTCAGAGAAGAACATCTTGATCGACATTGCCAGGCTTATTTATTGAAATAAAACGGTGCCGCTCTTTATGACATCATAGGAACTTTTTTTGCATAAATTCTCATTCCAAATTAACAGGATTCGCTTAATTTTTTCGTTTTTAGCCTCGAAAAAATAGTGAAATCCAATTTCGAATCAGTAGGTGGAAAATAATGATTTAAAAGGAAAATCAGAAAACACTATTTATGTTGAACTCACCATTTCTAAGTAAATAATCATAAAGTTCACAAAAATGCTGTTCAAATGTGCCTGTTTGTTTGAAACATATAAAAGTTTACATATGGGGGTTTGAAACTATGAAGAATGATATTATGACTATTATGAGGTCAGTTTTCATGTAAAAAACGTTCTGATATTACTTCATGAAAAGTGTACCCCTTCTCATTTTAATAAAACCGCACGGCACTGTCATACCGGTCCCAATTTGGTAAAGTTCACAGGACTAATAGCTGTGATATAGAGGGGGGGAAGCGTTTGAAATTAGACTCACTGTAGATTCGAATATTTTGTCATGGAACTTAGTACATATTCATTTTGGAGGACGCCGATTTCAGTGGTGTACGCGGTTTTTTTCAGAAAAAATCGCTAATATGGATTCTGTATTTTTCAGCATCTGAATGTGATATAGTATGCCTTGGTTTTTGAAAAAAATTGACACCGCTCAGTTCAAAATACACCTCATCACCCCCCTATATCTCAATTTTTTTTGTGAAAATCGCTACACGAATGAAATATTTATAAGGGTGGTCCGCTTTCAAATGAGTCACTCTGTAGACTATTGTTTAAAAGCAATCATTCTCAAAAATGAATTCTGAAAGACCAGTAATTTCGCCATTTCATCTTCTTGATTTTATAAACACTGTTTTTGAGTAAAGGTCTTGATGTTATCATGAAAAACACTATAAGATGCCAAAATGTGACTGAAGATGATTACATGGAAAACAGTTGAAGGGAATCACTTGTTTATAATTACCTACGCAAAAAATATCCTCTAACAGGACAAAGTAATGTTTCTTCAGATGCTATATTTCACTCTTCAGGGTGGCTAGAATTTCAGCCTCATCATTAGGATCTCGTAAACCGTATGAGATACAGGGTCGATTAAATTATGGCAAAGTTGCGCAATTCTATGACTCACAAGTGACTTACGAAATTCCGTTCTGAAATTTGAAATATTTTGGATATTTCCAAAGATTCTCGAACATGTCCAAAAAGTTCCGAAAATTCCGGATAGCGATCAGGTCGGAGCGATCCGACCGGATCGGTCGGATTTAGTGGTGCCGCCGGAATTCCGGTGCATCCCTAATCTTACTTACTCAAAATATGCATGTTGATGTAATTTTCCATGTGTTAGAGAGAGGGACAGACACCTTTTTTGAAAGAGTGTGATACATCATTAATTTTAGCAGCTGGTTCATGAAATCCATAATAAAAAAGTAGCAATCAGAATGTGTTATCTTTATTATGTTATATCTTTTTGAATAGCCATAAAATAAATTAAATGAAATCACGAGTATTAGGTATAGGAAGTATAGGACGTATTCTGATTTTTTCAAAATTGAAACGGCATTTTGTTACGGATAAAATAGCTCAACTTTTGTTATAATTTTACGGACCTTATATCTCTTATGGTTTACGAGAACCCAATGATGACGCTCAAATTCCAGACACCCTGTACACTAGAATATCTTTGAAACTATAGTAACATGATTTAGTGTTGAGAGATAATAAATTTCTGGTTGGCAATCTTTTCCATACTTATCAAATATGATACACTGAATTTGAAATTTTATATGATTCGATTTTTTTCATTAGATCCTAACTAATAATATAATGAAATTCAGACATTATTGACATACATTTCTGACCTGTGCCTCTTTTGCACTTTTCCCTGGATTGTATTGAAGGAATGTGTAAGATTACTTGTCTTGATTGTACCATGCAAGCCTATTATAATGACATCATGATATGAGTCATTTGGCCAACACCATTCAATCTGTTTTACCGGAAATTCAAATTTGTCTCATTAAAATCAATTTTTCAGAAGATGAAACATATTCCTTAGTTACAATGTATCATAAGATCTAATGTTGATAAAAGTTTTTTCTACGTGACCCTTCTCGAAAAAACCACCAGTATCCGAAAAATAAATTGGTTTATATCATGTCCGCATTTCCAAAAACGATAGCAGGCATTATTTCAGTGAAAAAATAGTATCGGCTTGTTGAGAAACATTAGGTTTCAATTTCTAGGATATGTTATGTTATATGTGTGTATGTATGTATACCAAATTTTGAAATTGTTTATTTTTCAAATTCGATTTTTCGGAATTACGTGGATACCAATTGAATTGTGATGGTTTGAGATATCTTCTGGGGCATGTACTATTTCTTATGAAAACATAAGAACGATACAAAATCATGGAATGAGTGTTCAGAGCAAGAACAATTTCAAACTCATTAATCAATTTCTTGTGGACCAACATTCTGAATATGATGAATATAGACCTACTAAATGAAAAATGAGTGTGAATAATTGGCCATGTAGTAATGAGAGAATTGAGTATTCTGGAATATGGTGTGTATAGAAGTTGTTTTATTTTGGACAGCTTTGGAATTTGGCGTTTGAATAAAAACCGAGGCCAACTACGTATTTTTTCTGGATAAAAAGTCAGCAAAACGTATCAAATACTTTTCTACCAGAAATGTGTGAAATAACTTGAAAAATTGCCAAATAATCGTTTCTTTTATAGGAACCGTACTCCTAATTTCTCCAGCTAGAAGCGTCACTGATTCAATAGAAACTTGTTACTTTAATTCGTATTTTTTTGTTCGCGAATAAATTCTTGTATTGGAAGAGATCATGTGTCAGTATGGTGCATTCGGATACAGAAATATAGGGGTCCTTGAAGGCCACAGAACATTCAAGATCTAGTTCAGATCACGTCAATGTTAAAGATTGTAGTGTCGAAGGATAGGAATAGGTCAGTGAATGAATAATATATTTTTGTTGTTGAGAGGAACAGGAGATAATATGTTGTATCAGTGAAATATTGGATATTGATTATACACTTGATATTCAGACGTACATGATACTTCCAAAATTTAAAATTCTATAAAAACAGTATCAGGAGTAGATCATTTCTTTTATGTTTTTTTGACAGTAGTTCCTGCACGCGTCTTTTTGTCAGTTTGTAGGTACAGGGCTAGTTTTATTAATGTGAACCCCCCCCCCCTTCATCTTCTTTGTTTTCTATCCATTCAAGAAGATTCGAAACTGATTTTCTTACGATATTCCATATTGGTTTCGATCATATTGAGAGAGTGTTGCAATATCTCTTCAAATATACAGGGTATACAGAAATATATTGATTTTTTTTATATGGAATGCGCTCTATATTTTGATAGATGAATATCCTATGTTTCAAATCAGGATGATTTAGGGAATTCAAATTTATCGAAATATACAGGGCGTTTCATTTGAAAAATATATTCATTTCTGTATACCCTGTATATTTGAATAGATATTGCATCATTGTCAAAATGAGTGAAATCTGTGCGAAAAATTGTATAAATTCAGTTTCGAAATTTTTTGAATGGGTGGAAAACATAATAAAACTAGCCCTGTACATCTAACTAAGACAACACTTTTTACATTTTCTCCAAATTAGTATTCTGTCAATTGGACGTGTGTCAAGTTATCAAGTGTAATACATTCTTGAAGTTAAAATTGATTGCACTTCACATAACAACAAAAAATATTATAGTGAAACTTGAAAAAATGAAGTAGGGGTGGTTCTTCAGGGGTAGTTTGATAAAAGTTTACTTCGCCACAATGGCTTCAGTCATCTGGGAGTGACAAGTGTGATTTTTTAAAAAAAAATTCCAAGCAGCATAACCGAGATATCGGTTGTTTAAAATAATCTGGTAAAATGGAAATGGTAAAACTTCGGTGTCAGTTCAATAGGGGATATTAACTCCTTTAGGAAAGGTTTTTCAGGTGAACGTACTTTTTCCCTTGAGTTTATTGCCATTGTTTCTGAAACTAATGCCATCAACATAATGTTTTTATGTATTTATTTTCAGTGATGAAATGCCCCTGAATACATATTTGTGTCTTTTGGATATTCCCCAGAAACTAGCCTATTTTTCCTCAAAGACCCTGTTTTTGATATTACAGTTTGGTACCCTAATTATAAGATTATTCAAAATTTGGTTGTTTATTCGCCTTCAACGTTTCCATGGAAAGGAGATAACATTGAATAATGTTTTAAAATGATCAACTGATACGAATCTGTCGAAATCAGATATATTGTCTATTTCGAACTTCTAGCTGTGGTGGACTATTCCCAGAAAGCATACCAGGATGCGTTTGAAATCTCTAAAGCCAAGATGACACCTACACACCCCATCAGGTTGGGCCTGGCGCTCAACTTCTCAGTCTTTTATTATGAGATATTAAATTCTCCAGACAAAGCTTGTCAGCTGGCGAAACAGGTTAATATCAATCCATTTTTTCCACAGCAGCGGCAGAATTACATGGATGGCAATTGTTCCCGTTAACAATCAGTTTTTTTTATGTATCTGGTGATCAGAGGAAAAAGTGAATTTCTAAGTTTCCCAGACTTTCAATTAGTTTCTATTTCACTTATTGCATTGTCATTTGATTAACTTGAGTACAACCTGGAAAAAACTTCGAAAGACGTGGCAAGTTTAGAAATTTATGTGTTTTTTTCTGAATACCCGACAATTTTTTTTTATTTTTATGTGAGATGTTAGTTGATTTAACGTTTTTGTGTAGAAGTGGTTGAAGACTCGCAAAAGGCATATCAGGAAGCATTTGACATAGCTAAGGCCAAAATGCAGTCGACCCATCCCATAAGGCTAGGTCTTGCCCTAAATTTCTCAGTGTTTTATTATGAAATAATCAATTCACCAGCAAGAGCGTGTCACTTAGCTAAACAGGTTATTATTTTATTATTTTTTTATACTATGGTGTGATTTTTTAATTTTCGGTTGATTAACATTGCCAAGTTGTGATGTAATTCTGCCTGTTAACTAACTGTTGGTAAAATATTGCTTTTATTATAGAACTCACTAACACTAGTACTGTAGTAATTATTTGTCTGTGTCCACGTTCTCAAATATTGTGCTTTTTTGTCTAGTGGCAAGATCCATATAATAGACTGGTTTCCTTATTAAATTCCAGCCAATCAGCGACAGCATGAATTACGTCACTCTGCGTGCCATTCGAATTTGTTCACACACAATCATGATAGTGATCAAAACAATGAGAGGTTAAATCGTGTTGATATATCTTACTTGTAATTTGTTGAATTTTAGTGACTTTCTCTCAATTATGAATATAGTATTCGAATTATGGGTATATAGTTTGAAATATTATTCTGTAGTAAGGAACTTTCCTTGGTATGTTCTGAAACAGATCTTCCATATGAATCAATACCTTCGAAAAAGTCACTACCGATGAAAAAATAGCTATTGCAAGGGTGACCACATAATTTCTTTTGAAAGAAGGAATTTATTGAGAAAATGATTATGTAATCTTGATACTTTAATCTACTAAACTTATGTGTCTACTACCAATGAAATGAACTTATACTTATATAACACAGGCAAAAAAAGAAGATATTTAGCCAAATTTTTCGCCCTGTAACTTTCCTAATTCTCCGATTTTGGTGAAATTCCGACCAAATTTCATCAGTAACGGAAGAGAAATTAAAGAGTTACAGGGCGAACAATGTCAGATTTTTTTTGCTGGCCGTTTTTTTTTAGATCTAAGAGGACTTCGTTTTTATCACAAACAATAATTATAGGTTACGTTTCTCATTAAATGGATTCACCTTCAATTCTCTATTACTGTGCACAATCAAAATGGTAAATATAAGTCATAAAGATAACTGAAGATCAAAGCTTGCACGTGAATGTCGAAAGAATTTCATTGATGATGTAGAGTGGCACGCACGGTGACGTCACGGTCATGCGTCCATCGCGACATTGTAAAACTATGGGGGGCAACCTGTCTTATTTACTGATCCTGGTGTAGTGGGATTCTTGGGACTTTCTTTTCAATATATTATTGTTTTGACAGGCCTTCGATGACGCCATCGCCGAATTGGATACACTAAATGAAGACTCATACAAGGACAGTACCCTCATCATGCAGCTCCTCCGAGACAACCTCACACTTTGGACGAGTGACACACAAGTAAGTTCTCCCCAAAAAACAGAATGAGTTCCATGGGGTTGTAATGATACTATTTGATACAGAACATTATTTAAAATCATCACAAATATTTTTCTCAATGATCAAAATAATCACCTCGCAAAAACGCTTGCTCCCGATGACGTGACATACCTTCAGCACTATTAATGTGTTATGGCTCAAAAAACAATGAAAATATTTCCACATTTCACATAGAAATGAGAATTTATTTTCACAGTAGGAGTGTACTGAAATGTACACAAGTCTTAATATATATAATTGCAATGGATTGATCGTGGTATATGACGTCATACGCTGTCCCGCGTTTTTCATGTTATGAAATATGGTGAATTTCTATAATTATTTAAAAAACATGCGCGGAAGTGAACAAGTTTGGATGAGTACTTCAAAATGATGAAATTTTTCACTGAAACTGGCCCATTGTTTCAATAACAGCATTTGATACCTTTGTGGCTTGTCTCGAAGTCCGGCGGAAAATATGTGAAGTCATGAAACAAGTTGCGATCCTAACTCAATATCATAAATTGCTAATTCAATATTTTGTTTTCAAACTGATGGAAAAAGTCTGAATTGAGCCGTCATTAACTAGTTATTTCTAAAAAAAGTATCCACCAAAACGTATCATCTTTGCCTCCATTCCTCAGTCCAACTCATTGAAAAACTATTTGAACTTAACAGCTATTGTTAATTTGAAGGATCGATCAAATAGGTGATAAATTTTTGAATAAACATTACACTTGTTTGATGGTATTGGTATATTCTTATCTTGATGGCCTTGAATAATTTTATTTTGCAACATTGACACCTTTTTTATAATTATTTGCAGGGTGAAGCAGACGAGTCTCAGGAGGCGGGTGATAATTGAAGTGTGGCGTCCGATTTTAAAATTATTCGTTGAAATAAAATGAAATTTCATGTAAGTTAACGTATTCGTGGAACTTGGTTGTGAAGTTTCATTGACAGTTTGGAGTTTCACTTGATGAAACTTTTGATATTTAATAATGTTTTTAGGAGATATGTAAAATCGTTAAATTTTTATTCACATTTTCACACAACCAGCAAAATTTTCGCAACAAATAATCTTAAGCCATAAAACAAAAATAAAAACATTATGGAATTATATATATATATTATTGATGAGTATGCATATATGATAACATAATTTCCATAGCTGAAGTTGTGTGATTAATGTAAATTTTTCTGCATCAAGTTTGTTTTATATTCATATTACGAGGTTTTTAATTTTTTATATATTATATATATATCATCTATCTCCTTCCTGATGTGAACAATTTATTTGAAATTTCAGCACTTTTTAAGTTCTAACTTGTTAACTATTAAAATTATTATTTAATAACATTGTTTTAGTTTATCTTTTTTATTTTGTATTTTTCCATTGTTGAACATCTTCGAAACTTACCCAAGTACCTCTTTCTTTGAAGGCCATTATCGTTTAGTCCACCAAATTAATTCGCACTCTGCTGCATGGGCCAACTACCCGCCCTCCCCCAAACCCAAAATTTCCCTATGTTTACCGTAAACACTCACTTTGGATGTGCTATATATAAATGTATGAATATGTATTGAAATAAACTTGCTATCAAGCTCTATTCTCTATTCGTTTTCTGTTGTATCTGTCAAGTATAATTGTCAGATATCAATAAATTTTTCAACTATCAATAGTTTTTAATTTGAAGTCCCTGATGTATTTCAGAAGTGATTGTAACTTTTCTGTTTGTTCATTTTACATGGGGGTTGTGTAATGAAATCAAAATAAAAAGCTTGATGACATTTTTGTGCAGTGCATTATTGAATCCCAATCAAATCAATTTCATTGTTTTTTGTGGTGCAAACATGGAAATATTGATATTTATAGACAAAAGACCAATTATCTTTTATCTGATATTAAATTGGGTACATGTTTCAACATGTATGAGATGTCAAAAACTATTGAAGGATATAGGCCGATGATGGTCATCTGATATATGTTCCGAAACATGATCCTAGTCCTAATTTTATATTTTCAACGTATTGAACTTTGACATGATATCGTGTCCTCTTTCCCTTGGAAGTCAATCCTATCACTCCACTTTAGCAGCGATAGAATTATCAGTAAGTATATACAATATTTTTAGCAGGAACATTCGATATCCGTTGAAATTCTGGTTGAAAAGTGGCATACATGGAAAAGTTGGAAGTCTGTTTAAAATTCCTCACTTGTCTACTAATGAATTGTGGAGGCCAAGTTTGGTTTCCCCCCCATTCATAGAAGCGTAACCTTCTTAGACTAAGGATCTAAGAGCGTAGCCAATAAATTCCGTGAGCTCAGCTCAACAAACTCAATTTAGGACATTCTGTGATTGTGAGCATGCGTCAGAAATGTATCACGTGATCCTTTGTGACCAGAATACATTTTGTTGTATTTTCTATCCACTGGTCTTCAGTTCAAGATCACATATTATATTGGTTAGCGTCACATGTTCTGATTTGGAATATGTACACAGGGGCGCACCAAGCTATTCCGTCGCCTGTGTGCAAAATATAATTGTATACCCGCCCTCACCCTTTATTTTAATAAAAATTATTCATATATCAAGGGAGCAAAGGTTTCCTCATTTGTTTGGAATTTGGAAATGAACTATGAAGTGTATGAGATCATTGGCGTTTGAAAAGGAAATAATTGTTATTTGTTTTATAGTAGCGATGGAGACACTGCTACCAGAGATAACTTATCTCTGCTGATACTTAGGTAGCACTCAGATCGTATACATATATCTCTACCGCAAGCACAGAACTCAAAGAAGGCTAATGCAAGTGTGAGATGAGAAATCGCTGAAATCTGATACAACCAGCGTGCTTGCGGCAATGATGATCATGCGCACATTGTCGGCAACATTGTCAGTTATATATTTTTATACGTAAATCTCATATTTATACAATTATGCATTATGCATTCTTGTAACTAATGATCAACAGCTTTACGAAAATCAAATATAAGATTCTCGCTATAAAATTCATATAGCCTCACTGATATCAATTGAATGGCTAACAAAAGATCGATGAAATATGATGAACTTATAATTTCTCACAAGTTCATCTGGCAACTGTGTAAGAATGTACCTCTGTCATTTTGACGTAGACTTCAGACAGAGCCGTATCAGTTTCAGTTGTTCAGTGTTTTGCTTTGTGTTTACTTCTTTCGTTAGTAAATTTTAGATTATTGAAGAATGTTGGTATTTTACCCCAGTTTGGATGTTCTATTGTACTCATAGTAACATTCGAACGTGTTTCCTAGTTTATAAGTACAGTAGGTACTTATTCGATTCGATATTCATTGACTAATTTGTGCATAGTGTTTTCAAAATGAATGATTTGGTGTCAAGATGATGAACAAATTCCAGGAATCCGTTACTTCAGGTAAATTCATATCGTCAACAATATTCGGGCTGTTATATATTTTTTCTACAGCTTCAACACAAAATTGCTCTTCACTGTGTTCGATAAATCAATGAAGGTAGGTACTTTGGATGTCATCAATTTCATTTCCGTATCTGATATCACAATGACTTTCATTTTGTTATTATCTCAGAAAATCTCATCTCCTTTTCAAATTTCAAGCCGTGACAGCTCTGTCCAATGGATGGGCATTACTTACGAGAAAATCAGATGGCTACAAGCCATAGAATTCAAAAATTTCGTAGAAAAAGTATAATGTATATTTCCTACTCGTATGATTTACAGCATTCGCCGCTTCATTCTCGTTGGAAAAGACTATAATTCCGTGCTTGTTAAACAATATACTATTTTGTTGTCATGACTCTGCCTAGAAGTTAGAGCTCTCTGGAATTATTGATATTGAATTAAGTTTTAGGCCAACCAAGAGTTGCCACGTTGCTTGAATGGCGAGATGCCACTGTTGAGAAGTTGAGTCCTGTTTTTTTTTACTGAAATATCCAATTTCTACGCAAGGTCTCGGTTCTCGGTTTTTTATAATTAAATTAACTCGTGAATGAACCCCAAAATTGATTCCACAGGAGTGATATTCCTTCTGGATGGAACAGGAAAGTTGGGAAAATACCTCATTTTTTTAACTCTTGGAGCGCACGAAAGGATATTCTTATATAGGGGAAATAGTTCTTGGCATACTCAGATATAGTCCTCAGCATACCCACAATTTTCAGTGGTTCAATTATAAGGGGGCAAGAGTGAAATAACTCCCTTGTAACCATTTCATAAGTAGTTGCACCAAATTTTGTTTTATGTCCTAAGAATTATAGCAAGTGAACGATTTCTGAAACTGGACTTCAGAGGGGATGTATCTCCCTTAAAAAGCTTTTTCGAATAAATTTTAATATGCGTGTCCAATAATTCGATTGATGGAAAATACATCCAAACATCACTCCTAGTGACATGAAGGAATCCATCATAGTAAATAGCATATACATTTTTCACAATGTTTTGCTCTTCCAAGAAATAGGCTACAAAACCCTGGTAATCAAATGATTCTTGAGCCGCCCCTGGCATGGTCGCGTCTCTACTGCGCATGCTCAGATCTGCCGTTCGAGCCACGTTAGAGAACACTTGAATAAAACGGCAAAACGGTATTGGCCTTCTATTTGAGTTCTGTGGAAGCAAGCTGAAGCCTATTTATTTTACCTCCCACGGAAGGTAACATTTTTTATCCTCCCGTGGGAGTAAATTGACAGGTTTGTGTCCTTGAATGAGGGAGCAAACGCTTATCTCGCGGGGTAAATCTCCTTGGAAGTCTGGTGTACACTCCGTTGGTAGTCTTTGGAAGTCTTTGAAAGTCTTTGGAAATCTTTGGTAGTCTTTGGATGTCTTTGGAAGTCTTTGCTGGATGTCTTTGGATGTCTTTGTAAGTCTTGGAAGTCTTTGGGAGTCATTGGATGTCTTTGGAAGTCTTGGTTCATTGGAAGTCTGGTGTACACATTTTTCCTGGAGAATTACCCCTCGGCATATCTTACTTTCGAAGAAGTGAGTAGATAAACGACAATATGTTTAATTTTGTTACTGATGATAAATCAGATAAGGGGGGTACATTTTATGCGAACATCAAATATTTCAGAATTAGATAAGTAATGATAATAGGTGATTCAATTTTAGGCGTGTACAATAATGAAGGAAATGAGTACCTATTTCCGGAAGCCAAAATGAAAAAAGTACTGATTTTAATCTGCATGATAGACTGCTACTCATATGTTCTGGTTCCCACGAAAAGGGATATGCTATAATGTTTAGAAAACATCGTGAGAACCAAGGGAGTAAGGTAGGAATTGGCGTTCTTCTTAAATTTCTGGAGGTTATATGCCTCGGGAAACACCTCTCTTGGCAATGTGTTCCAGAGCATCGCTGTTCGTTATTGGATGAGCGAGTCTTCGGGAAAGAGATGTTCTGCAGGTCTCCAAAGTGACCACGAAGGGGTGCGAAGCCTCAACTCGACGGGTTAATCTCGCGGGGACTGCCAAAAGGGAGGAACAATGATTGTTGATATTTCAGCTGAAGAGCATCGTCCATGAAAATATCTATAAAATAGAGCCAGAGATCGACAACTTTTCTGCGGTGTTCCAGAGAAGTGAGTTAGTTTGTGAGCGAGGTATCACCCACGAGACGAATTGCCCTTTTTTGGACAGAATCCAACAGTTTCAGGGTATATGTTTGGGTGCTGCACTCCAAATATGGAATCAGTCCAGGACAGGTCGGATCTGTGCCTTATAGTTCATAAGCAGCTGACTGGAAGTGAAATATAGCTCCTGGCGCGAAACAGAAAACCAAGTTTTTGGGATGCACTTTTAGCAATTGATCTCACGTGATTTTCCCAAGTAAGGTTATTGCTGATAGTAATCCCAAGCATCGAAATGGATGTCTTCAAAGAGCCATATCTTACTTCGAAGGTATGGTTACTCGCCTGACATGCTTATGTTGGGAGAGAGTGAGATCGGCTTTTCTAGGGAAAAGGCACGCCATTTGGTCACTTTTTACGTGCATAATTGCCAAATTACTGAGCATCTATCCTATGCCATATAGTTCATCGTGAAAAAGTTTGTATTGATTTTGACTTTGAAAAAAACTTCTACAGATTCTATGGTATAGCCTCGGGTATAGCGGTACAATTACATTTCATAGTTTTATATTATTGGTTATAGTTTAAATGTCATTAAATTTTTAAATTTTGCTTGCATGAATCCATCTTAACATTCTTAACTCATTTTGCTCTGCTGATAAGTGGTAGGTATTTTAAACAAATAATTTCTACAAATAGATCATTTGCACCTTGCATATATATCTGATTCTTCACGTCACGCGCGGCATCAGAAAAAAGAGGTCGTTATAG